AACAGACTCCCCTTAAGCCTAGAAAACCCTTGCAGGCACATTTGTCGGACTTGGCGACTTGGGCAAAGCCACAGGCAGGCTGTGAAGGGCGTCCACATGTCGTAGAATCACCTCATTGCTTTGAGGCTGGCATGTTCCTGTGGCTGAAGATGACGCGGCCGACGCCGACTTTCTCTTGCGAGGCTCTCGTAGAGAGCCCGGAGCCCAGCTGGAGCGGCAGCGGACCAGCGATGCCCAGCGCCCAGTCAGCAGAGGCATGCAGCGCCATGGCGTCGTTGCCATGCCCGGCTCCTTCTGTTCGCCAGAGCCAGGCTCGGGGCGTGTGGCAATTCTGAGCATGAGCATGCTTCTTGAGTCTTGAGTGTCCTGTCGTGCCCTGTTGCCGCAAATTTTGCACAAGCGTATTCGTTTTCAATATGACGAAGAAGTCCGGTGCTGGCTGACAAGACGTCGGCCATGCAGAATTCTCGTGCCTCCTCGAGCGCTGGGGCGGAAGAAGATCCCCTGATAGATGCAATCGATTTCGACCTCGCGCCAGCACCCACGGGCTGCATTCGTGGACCCGTTCAAAACTTGTTTCTCCATCAGACAAACCCTCGCTTCGCAATTAATGTGGAGCTGGCTTTCCGAGGAGCATTTTTCCTGCTAATTGCAGGAATACCGGTGATCGTGCCAAGTGGGAAGTGGGAGGTAGTCGACTACATGATCCACACCGGCATCTACAACAGTAGTGTTTGCTGTTTCATCATCTTCAACTTGGGTCGCACCTTCGGCGAGGCCCTGAACAAAGTGAATTCAGGCTTTCGCGGTACCTTCGCTGCTGCTGCCATTGGATGGAGCCTTTACACCATCTGGCCTGAGGGGTACACAGAGGAGTCTGGCGACCTGGACTTTTGGCTCATCGTAGCCATCGGCACCATCTATGTTGGCCTCGTAATGCTTCTGAAGCTGGACGTGTCCTTCCAGATGTTCGCGATTTCAAACTTTGCAGGCATATGGATGGACATTCTCAACCCCGCACATCGAGCCACGATCACACCACCGTGGGCCGGGAACTGGTCGGTGGAGACAGACGACTTGTTGACGCAGTTGATTCGTACTTTTATCGGCCTCCTGACTGTTACAGTGGCACTGCTGCTTCCGTATCCGCTTTGGTCCCTGGTCAAAGTCCAGGAGAACCAGCTCGTCCTAAATACTCGGCTAACGCAGATTTTGGGGCTGATGGTGAACCTATACAGTCAGGATATGCCGAAGGATTACGAAAAGGCAGAAGTTCTCAAGCTTTTTCAGGGCATGAAATTTTCGTCCGGTGAGAACGATCCATTGATTGCAGAGGCATGGTGGGAATGCTTTGGATTTGGGAGGACGCAGCTGAAACGGCAGGTGCTGTTTTCTATGAGCCAGACGACCCGGAAGATTTACCTCCTAGCTTACAACGCTTGGACGGTATCCTCCGATCAAATCAAGAGCGGCAAGGACGCCGAGTTGATGCGCCTGGTGAAGGACAAGACCGAAAGCGTGCTGAAAGAAATGGGGAGGATGCTGGACCTGCTGGTGAAGGCAGCAGAAGATGGCAAGTTTGATCCTAATGAGGCAAAGGCCGTCAATACCTGCAAAAAAAATTTAGAGCGGCTGGAGAGGGAGCTCGCCGCCCATTTTCATGCAAAGAGATTGGAAGTAGCTCAGAAGGCACCCAAACTCCCGCTTGGCACTGCTGAGTCGATGTACAAGGAAGTACGGTTCGCCCAGGTCCTCACTTGGAGCATCAGCCGCATTGTAGGTGAAGTGATTCAGCTTGCTGACGGTGTCTGCAAGTTCTCAAACGGTGAAGCTTCACTTCCGCCTCCTCCAGATTCTGCAGGCTTCCTGGCTGTCTTCCAAGGCGGGGATGCCGAAGTCGAAAAGAGTAGGGTAATTGCCGTGGTCACTCTGGCAAGTTCTTTCTTTAAAGCGGGTATTTGAAAGGGAGTACTTGTCTGGAGCAAGCCCAGCCAGGTGTGGCGGAGAAAGAGCACCTTCTCTACGCATGGCGGGGAATCAGCTCGTATCTCCTCAGTTTCATGCTGGGCTACTTCGGTTTCAAGCAGATTGTTCCTCCGTATTCTTCGGGGATAGCCGCAACTGCCCCTCTCCTGCTTTCCATGTATGTTGGCTCTGCACTGGTGAACGACTTGAACCGAATACAAGGACTAATGATTGGAAATGTTATTGCTCGAATTCTTAGAGGTTTGATCGACGATTGCGATCCTGCCGATTTGGTCATCCATGCTGTCATTACATTTGCATGGGTATGGACTGGCCTCTTCGTTTGCTTCCACTCGCGTTCGTACTCAACGATAGGCGTGCTGGCGGCAGCTTTCGGGGCACTTACACTGCTCGCCGACAGCTGCAACCATCTGTCCGACAATGTTGGAAAGCGCGCAACTTTCGATTCCCTGGCGATGAACTGCATCGCCGTTATGATTACAATGTGTGCCGATTTCATGTTCCAGGCAGACCGTGCATCAGACCAGGCGCACAAAATCTTGGACCAGTGCTGGAGTAAGATTCATGACTCGCTTGCTGATCTTCTCAACCCCAACGTGAAAACGGTGGCTTTCGAGTCCGCCAAAGCCAAGGAACTTCTGACAGAAGCTATACACATGGGTGAAGAGGCGAACTTGGAACCTCGCTTCTGGCGTACCATCTGGCATCAGGAGTTGTTCACCGGTGTCTGCCGTGCGACGGATGCTCTCATCGTTGCAACTGCTGCTCTGGAGTCTGCCATTGCAGAGCACGGGAACGACGCGGATGCTAAGTTTGCAACTTTTGTTGACTTGTCAACGCCGAGTTCGTCCAGTGCAACCACAGGCATTTTTGGTAGCCCAGGGGAGGTGGGACCGGGGTGTTCCATGTCACGCTTTGAGGGCAGTACAGTAATTATGAAGGGACCCCCGGTTTCAAGGAACCCTCTGAGGTCGACGTCTTGCGAAACTTCAAGGCTGTCCAGAAGCTGCTTCACATCTTCGTGCACGAGACAGTGCGCAAATTTGAAGGAACCTTACACGAGCATCGCGACACCGGCAACGAAAACAAGGTGCTGACCGAGAGTGAGGTCGAGACGCAATTCATCAAGCGAACCGTGCCGAAGTTTTTCGGCATTCAAGACCAGCCCAAGGACAAGATGTCCCACGACCAAATGGCAAACTTGTCGGTCGTGTTCGCTGGGCGTGTGCGAATCAAGGATCTTCTCCGAAAGGTTCAAAAAATCATTTTGGCAAGCCACTGGGAACAATAAGTCCACCTGTGGAAAGCCTGGAGCTTTGAACTGCGGTACCTTCGGAAGGCTGAAAACGACGGAAAAAGAAGGTGTGCTTCCGGGAGAGTTTCAGGAGCGAAATGGGAGAGTAGAGCCAAGTAGAGCCCCTGAGTCTCAGTGCATTGCAGGTCGGGCAGTTCCCTACCTTCGGCTGTCCTTCGTGACGCCGGAAGACAGCTACCCGGAGGGCCTCCGGCGCTTGAGAAAGGCCAGGAGCAGGGTGCAGCCCAGGCAGAGTCTGAGAGGACTACCCCCTCCGTTTCTTCCGAGGTTCTCTTGGAGCTCAGCCTTCCGCTGAAAAGCTCTGAGGAGGTCTCTTGGCAGAGCACCGAAGAGTGGATTTCTGGAGCATGTAGCATGTGCGTCTGGGCCGCACCACCTGCGAGACTTCCAAGAGTTGTTCCTCAGGCATATCCTTCCGGCTGACGCACAGCATCTGCAGCTTTGTGTTCTGAGCAGCGCCCATCAGAGTGCAAACAGTAGTGTCAGCGATCGTGCTGTTGGTCACGGACAAAAGGCAAGCTGCTGTGCTCTTTGCAGAATCAAGCTCGAAAGGAATGCATGCAACACATTAACCTTTATCTGCAAGCTTTCGTCATTCTTGAAGCACTACACAGCTCTGCACTGTGCACACAAGCCTGCGCATGAGGGCAACAGCGGCGATCGTGGGGCACGAAATGTCCCAGGAGGCACCGCACCGGGCATCAACAATTCAACAAGCAGCAGCGACGCAGTGTTGGGAAAGGTCCTGGCTTTGCTGTGCGTAGGGCAGACGCGCGTCAGGCCTGGGATGAAAGCCAAATGTTGACCATGCAGGCCAGGGCAGCCTTGTTGTCGCTGGTTTTCTCCACTTGTGCTGCTTCTCGGTCTCGTGTTGTGGAGCGTCCTCGCAGGTCGTTACAGGTGTGCAAGGCCTTTTGGAAAGGCACCTGCTTTCCTAAGCTGGTTGGCATAAGTCGCTGCCAGGCTTGCTTGCCACATCGCAGTGCCAAGGAGCTTTCGGATCAAAGCTTTCGATCTTCCACGCTCGAGCAACTTGCGACATCCCGATCTAGCATCAACTACTGCTCTCAGCCTCTAAGACAATCCCTTCGGCTGCAGTCAATGCTGCATGCACCATGCGATGCCTCAGCGAGCACTGCGAGGCAACCGACACTGCAGAGATCGCGTGTGCTGGATGTGGGGCATGCACCCATCAGCATTGTTCTGCAAGCCTACACTAACTGCACATGTCCAGTTTCACTGAAGAGCGCAGGACTGTCAGTTCGCCGCTCTTGTCCGACTTTCTGAGATGCGACAGGCAGACCAGCTACAAACAGGAGCTGCGCTGTGGACACCCTGGCAGCCCTTGCGCCACAAAGCAACCTGTCGCGCAAAGAATATGGAATGAAGTATTGCAGGCACTGTTGAACGATGTGTCGACTTGCATGGCAAGAGTCAGGTGAGCACCTTCTTCAACTCGGAAATCGTCTTGCAGGGTGCTGTGCCGCAGCGGCGCGCGCTGCGCACGGAAGGCAGGCCTGCTCAGAGAAGGGGTCATGCAGCGTCCTCCACACCTGCAACATCTTCTCAGGGTTTAGCGGATGGTTCCCGAACCCGGATGAGAAGCGCGTGGAGCCACCAGAGGCCAACGCATCTCTCTGACTGTTCAAGGTGCCTGACGCACACCGAACTGTCCCACTCAGCACAGGGCCAGGAGGCCATGGCCATCCAAGAGGCAGAGAAGGAGGAGGTTCGGGTAGGGATCTGGAAAGGACTGGGCACAGGGCTGTGCACCTGAGCAGAGGAGCACGAAGAAGATCCCATGTCAAAGGCATCCTGGCATGAAGTCAAACGGCGTGTAATGGGAACCACGGAGGTCTGCATGTCACGCTTCTCGTTGAAGCCCAGGCTTTGGACAGAGCTGCAGACTCCGTGGCTGGGGATGCTGAGAAGTCACTGGAGAAGATGAAGGTGCTTGTGGCCAATGCTATGTTTCTTTACAGTTGGCCTGCCCAACTTGCCTAGTTGCTGCGTGTGTCATCGTCATCATCATCATCATCATCATGTAGCTGTCCTTGTTACGGTTGACTGTTGCTGTTGCTGTGGGTGCTGCAGGTGTTGCTGTTTCTGTTGCTGTTGTTGTTGTTGCTGGTGGTGGTGTTGGTGGTGGTGTTGCTGCCGCTGGTGCTGGTGCTGCTTCTGCCGCTGCTGCTGTCACTGTTGCTGTTGCTGTTGTTGTTGGTGGTGTTGGTGGCATTGGTGTCGTTGTTGTTGCTGTTGCTATACTATTGCCGTTGGGGTTGTGGTGGGGTTTGTGGTTGTGGTTGTTGTTGTTTTTTGTTCTGTTCTTGTGACTGTTGTTGTGGTGGTGGTTGTGGCTGTGGTCGTGGTTGGGGTTGTTGTTGTCCTGACCTGTGACGATGGTCATGATGCTGCATTATTGTTATGGCTGCAGTGACGACTAGACCGCGACGGGCAACCTGCATTGCCGTAAGCTCCCAGGATGATGTGGCCAACTCGCTCGAGGCGTCCAAAGATGATGGCGCTGGCAATGCTGCCGTGGAAGCTGCAAAGGCCCGCAGCGAATTACACCGGGGAGATGGGGCGGTTCCCTGTTCGGAGGTTTGGAGCAGCTAGCTACTAGTAGGGCCAAGTGCAGGGATTCGTAGATCTGTAAAGGGTAAGACATGTAAGACCATATTGACGGTTGCACCTCATGGTATCGACTTGCTTCTTCTTCTTCTCGAAGTCAGGAGGAGGAAGACACCGGAGATCCGCCAGACGTGGACGACGAACTGCCTGGGCCTTTTTACACACGAGCCTGGTTTTTGGGCTTGGTGCTCGCTGCCTTCGTGGGGGTGACCTCCTACACTGCCCTTCAGCTGCACAACAGACATGGCATTGCGTCATCACGGTGCATCACGCGGGCCGCGCCAGCCAGCCTTATCGGTGTTCACGGCACCCCTCTCGAAAGTCCCAGCTGTTTGCACGACTAGGGCAGGGTAGGGCTTGGTGCGGCAGGGACAGCTAAAAGAAAAGAAGCGGTTCCGAAGAACCGACCGATGCGAGGTCTTACAGGTCAGGGCTGCCTCGGACTCGAAAGGCTCGGACGAGGACGAACTTGAGCGGACATACGCTTCTCCCTCAGAGAGGGTTTCGGGCTCCTGTCAATATTGGAATTGGGACAAACCGCGATCCCGTGCAAGTTGACGAGGCGCACGACCCCAGGGCACCAGTTCCTGCGGATGGCAAGGGCAAGAGCAAGGGGAAGGGTGCCCAGGCAAGTGAGTTCGTTTGCTATCGAGGTTTTAATCTTTCGTGGTTAGCATGGTTGCGGTTCAAGTGATTTGGAATTCCAGACTCGTACCGTCAATGCTGTGCAGAAGGTGCAGCGACTGGTGGAGGTCAGGGTAGAGGTTTAGGTGGGCTACTCTGGGTCGTTGTGAAAGAATCCCCGCTGTCACTTATGTAGGACGTCTGGTTTTGCAGTGTTTCGATACATGCAGAGACCTCTTCGTCAATTGCACAGGCAGCTGCTGCGTAGCATGGTCCACTTCGCGAGGTGGCCTGGACTGATCGTCTGTGATGTTTTGCACATGCAGGTTATATGACATCGCGGTTTCCTGCCCTCATTCCAGAGGTCAACCGACGCCGAAGCTGTGCGTGTTTCAAGCATCTTCGAATCACGATCCTCAGATCCTCGCAGTGCACGGGCCGCGGCTGGCCCCACGGAGCCGGTGCTAGTTCTGCTCCAAAGTGAGCATCGTTTCATCTCACCGATTTGTGGCTGTCGGCGCCTCTGACCAGGTCTGCAGAGAAAAAGTCAAGTCGACAACCTGTGTTGCATCAGTAGAGCTGCCAAGGTCCATGGCCCGAAGAGCCCTGCAACATAGTCACTTTGCTTGGATGGAAACATGGACAGGTTTCAGGTGCAAATCGCACAGCAGATTCAGCAGCTGGCGGTGCAGCAACAGCAGCAGCAGGCGCGGATCATCTTCTCGTGCCGTGCAGGACTCACTGCGCTTTTCGGATTGCTGCATCGTGGCAGGCGATGCATCAGTGGCTGCTGCAGCAGGCTGTCTTTCTAGAAGCTGATTTTTCTGCTTATTCTGCTTCTGAACTCGTCGAGCTCGGATCTCTTCTTACTGATAGCAGGTTTTGGCGCAGCAGCAGGAGCAGAAAGCTGGGGACCTTTGACCGGCAGCTCCACAGCTCCATCACCGCGCTTCCAAGGCCTTGCTTCAGCAACGCGTCGCGACAGCGGCTTCTGAAGGCCCGTGGGCAGAGCACATGGAAGGAGGCTAGGATCAAGGAGATGATGCATGGACGCAGCTCCACACCAGACCCACATAAAACCTGCTTTCGGCAGTAAGAACTCAACGTAAGATGATGAGCATCTAAGTGGCGTGCTATCTCGTCGGTGCTGTAATGCCTCTCAAAGCGATTGTGTCCCGTGATGGCATTGTTCTTCAACGGGGGTCTTGCTCGGGCCTCGCATGCAGCCAGGCGACGGCACACCGGCGGCCAAAGGGCATCTCGGCTGCATTTGCATTCAATGCGGATTTTGCGGGCTCATGCCCTTGCCTGTTGCGTCAGTGCTTCGATCTGCATTCACGCTCGTGGCACAGAATGCTGCCACTCTTCTGTGCCAGGTGCACTCGCAGCACTCCTGGCGCACCCTGTGCACAGTGGCCGCAGGCCGGGTGCGAGCGCAAAAACATGTAAAATCCAGCGGTTTATGGTTTGACAATCTGGCCGGAGAAAGGCAGTTGAATAGCAGAACACAGCAGTTGCTCGGAGGTGCCGCAGCGAGACTGAAGTCTTAAACTTCACTGGCTTCTGCTAGGTCCAAATACCACCACCCAATGGCCGGCATCCTGCAGTGCAGCAGCAAAGCAACTTGCTGCAGCTGCCTCCCCTGCTCCCCGGCAGCGTCCAGTTTCAGTCGCTGCAGGTTGAGAGCTGAAGCTCTTCCATGCTCCCGTGCATGCCCTGTAAGGCTGCACAGCTTGCCGGCCCGGACGCAGCCTCCCGCGGGCAATCGATTGCTGGAAGCCTATGGCATCTTTCAGTTCCGTTTTCGGAGTTTGTCTTCTCCTGCGCACAATCCAGAAGAAGCTTAATTATGACAGCTTGTCCTTGATACTGCAAGATTGCCGCTGCTGAAAGGCCGCAGCCTCCGGTGAGTCAGAAGACTCAGGCACCGGGGGGACATCCGTTAGCAGGATCAATGCCTCACTAATCGATGCGAGAATAGATCACTGCATGCATGTTTCTTGATGCACCCTCTGACAATTGTGACAGTTGGCTATATACGAGTGTGGGGACAAGATAAAGCCCCAGCCACACCCAAATTAAACAATCAGGAGAAAGAGAAGGGCCGACCACTGATGGAGCCACCAAGTGAAGAAGCCGAGTACGAGGCCATGCACCGGTGGCAATTCTCCGTTCAGCGTCGAGAAAAGATCTGGCAGGCGGCTTCAGAAGATAAGCAGGAGGAAGCAGAAAGGCGCGACCGTGCCGAAGAAAGCGGCATGGAGCACATACTCGTAGCCAGTTGCTATCCTGTTTACTTGCAGGTCTGAGACGACGGTGGCGCCCGAAGCATCGCCAGAGGTGCAGGCGCGTACTTGGCTCATAGCAAAGGCAGTGCGAGGATCCCCCAGGGTCCCCCCAGGGTCCCCCCAGGGTCCCGGCCCGATGCGCCGGCTTCAGTGAGGCTGAAGCCAGTGACGCTTCGCCAGAAGCGAAGGAGAGTCCGGAGGCCGACAAGGACTCGGGACCCAGACATAAGGTTGGACTTTTTTCAAGCCATGCAGTGCCAGGAGTGTAAAGAACCGGACCAGACGGAGCACGAGAGCAGCACAAAGCATGCTGAAGAGACGAACTCCTTCGTGGAGGTGGGTGCTTCCTGCTGTAAGGGCTTTCGGATGCCGCTCGTTGTTCGGTCGTTAGCCTGCCCTGGGCGACAGGTGGAATCAGTGACAGAGAATCCGGTGAAAGAAGAGCTTCGCGAGGAGCCAGAGATGCTTCTCGAGGCGCCAAGAGGGCCGGGCCGGAATGGCAGGCCCCGAAGGCGGCAAGAGCGGCCTGCCCGCACGCGTGCAGAGACCGCAGAGTGGCGGCCGGTCCGAAGGGGCAAAGCCGGACCGAGACACAGCGAGCCCGTGGAGGAGCCCCCAGCCTCTCCGGCAAAGGCAGATGCAGAGCGAGCCGAGCGAGCGCCACAGAGCTGGAAGCTCCGCGGCAAAATGAGCATGAGGAGTAGTGGCACCAGTGGTGCTACCTCTAGCAGTGGCAAGGGTGCCAAGAGCACAGGGCCTTCAGGGCATACAGCCTGGAAGTGGAGGCCCACGGTGCCACACTCGGACAGATAAAGGGTGTCAAGTGTCAAGCTGTTAAGCTGTTGCATTCTTAGTTTTCCCAGCTGAGCTGAGCACTGCTTGGGCTAAAAGCTGGCAATGTGTACAATATGACTGCAAAGGACCACGTTTCAGTTCCTTTGAAGCATCTTGATGGTGCTTGTAAATGCGATGAAAAGAGCAGCCCCGAAGCTGTGGCCCAATAAGGTCAAGGAAGGCTTCCTGAAGACCGGCCTAGTTTAGATGCCGTCCCAGTGTGGCTTCGAGGCTCTTTCCCTCCGGGAGACTCCCCGAATCGAAAGCGATCGGACAGATCTACACCCCGTCATGTCTCGGCGAGATTATACACGTCCTGTTGCGCCAAGAGAGGCTCAGCCCTGCCAGCTCGAAGAGCACCTCTTCAGAGGAAGAATGCTACTCGTAGTTGTACCTCTCATAGGGTTTCTCACGGCTCTGGAGCAGGCTGGACAGCCAGGGCGAGCAGCGAGAGCGCCGGGGAGGAAAAGCTTTGAGCCGGCTTTCCTACCTTGCGATGCCCGGCGGACAGATGCCTCTCGTAGTAGCCCCGGCAGCAGGCAGCCACATCACCACGTCGTCCTTGGCAGTACTGCTCATGGGCTCGCAGCAGACTTTTCTACGCTAAGCAGGCCCAAGTGCAGATAACGTCAGCACTGTACACTGTACACCACGATCGGTCTGTGTGGTGGACTGCGGTTGCGATGCATAAGCAACTGCATGCAGCTCCCTTGGTTTAGTCAGTCGACATGGCCGCCTGACATGGCCGTGTAGTGAAGGCGACGGAGTCTGCAGCGACTCTGGACGGTGCGAGCGAATTTTGCATGTGTTTGAGGTCAGGCAAGGCAGCTATGCGAATTTTCGCCGTGCACGGCTGTGCGGCGTGCTTTGTTTGATCGATGCAGGCTTGCAAGAGACGTTTATCCTAAGATTTGACAAAAATGAGGCCTCCGCGGTTCGAATTCTGCAGGCGAGGGCGTTGACCAGGCCGAGCTGCAACTACACGCCTTGAAGACACATGCGAGCATCCGGTTTCATTCGCATAGTCAAGTTTTCACCCATCCACTGCAGCAGGTGCAGCCAGGACTGCTTTCTGTCACGAGGAGGCAGGGTCGGTCTGCGAGTCTGCGGCGAGTGCCGACCATGAAGCACAACCAGGACTCAGACATCTTCGAAGCGCGAGGTCCGGAAGGCGCCTGCACTAGAGGGTGCAAGATTAGAGATGCTAAAGCGGTCAGTATCGACATAAACTTCCAGTCCTCAGAGCTTGGGCTCGAGAGCAGCGCTTTCCGCCATGGTGGTGTTGCGAGAGAGCTCTCGACGAAACTGCGTTCGAGTCGCCCGGGGGCTCGCTCTTGCCATCTGTGGCGCTCTGTGTGCACTTGGCTGTCTGGGCTGCGATGCCGGCTGCAGGCATGCCGCTACTCGGTGGCAGACTGTCTGGAAGCTCTGCTTGCAAGAGCCTGCTTTGCCATGGACAGCCCTAGGATGCCGCCAACTGTGTCCTGGGCAATGCTGCCGACTGCGCCGATCTCGCCAAGTTTGGAGGACGTGTGGTGAAATGTCTGGCTAGTACCAGCGAGCGCCATGACGGTTTTGTTCTTGCACCCGAGCCCAGTCTTCTGAGAGCTCGCAATGACAGGCTGTGTCAAGGAGGCAAATTGCTGCGAGTCTTCCGATGCATCTTCCGAAATATCAAGTATGACCAGTTGGAGGACCTTGGAGTGATGTAGTGGCTGCGAGAAGACCAGGATGGGGATATATGTGGATATGCGACCGGAAACATAGATTCATAGATACTTCTCCAGGGCCTCTAGTCTTAATTGCCACCTCTGCTGTCTTGCTTGGCTCAAGTGCCGACAGATGCAGGAAACGCTTGAACGAGCTCTATGCTGCAGCAGACCTGGCCGGCTTGTCTTGCGAGCCGAGCCCCTGCGTGAGCTGAGAGGCCCGAGGCCCCGAGGCTCCTCGGCCCAGCCGCGGCGCGGCCCGAGCTCCTCCTCCGCTCTTCCTCCCTCCGCTGCTCGCTCCGCTGCTCGCTCCGCTGCTCGCTCCGCTGCTCGCTTCTGGCGGATGCGGATGCCCCCTGACAAAAGCCCCGTCATCAGCGCAGATCGTGTGACGACATGTCGAAGAGCGACAGCTTCAAGTCAGAAGGGTCAAAGGGCCCCGCCATGACGCATCCGATTCACAGTTGTTTCAGCATCTTGCAAAGTCGCATATGTGCTGAGTATGCTGCAGCGGATGATGGAGGATGTCCAAAAAATGAGACTCATAGTTGCCTGGGGATGCCTGTCCTGCACCTGTGGAGAGCTGGGCGAATTGAATGCATGAGGTCTGGGACCGCAGACCCCGCAGCGGCCGTGAAGAACTCTGGCCTTGGACGCTTGTCTGCGCCTCGCTCCGATGGACTTGGCGCAGAGCAGCCCTCCGCGCCCCACCTGCCCGAAGAACCGGCTGCCGAAGATGCGGACTTTGTGGATGAGGGGGCTGGCGAGGCAATTGCCGTGGATGCGCTGGCACCAGCAGCAGCCATGCTGCACAAGAACGCCCTAGTGGAAGGCTTTGACGAGCCTCTGCCCCTAGAGGCACTGGACCCGCAGGACCAAGAGGCTTCCCGAAACCCTCCGCTGAATTCCCTTCCAAAAAGTCCGCTTGTATTATTAGTTGCCATCCGGCAGGACTCGCTTGACAAGCTTCCACACGTCGCTGGTGGCCACAGCCGACCCCTGAAGCCGCCTTACGAGCACATCCCTCGCGCTCCGCCAGGGCTCCTCCAACGCCTGGCCGAGGTGGAGAAGTTGGAGGGCAAGTCCAAGGAGAGGGATTTCTGGAAATCCTCCCGGCCAGCCTTCAAACTTTATACCTATACCCCGTTATCACTTTCCTCTGCATCCTTTCATGTCGTCGGATGACCTTCTCGGTGCAGGGCTCGAAGCGGACCAAGCGACGAGGACAGTTTGAGTTTGACGACGACGTGCCCATCCGAGTCCGGGTGCTGGATGTGGATGCCCTGGCTTTGGAAGAGCTGCACAAAGCCTTCATGTACACTTTGGTGCGGAGGCGACCTGCAGAAATTTGTGTGCGAGTGGCCTCAAGGCTTGCTGTCTTCCGGGATAAGCCGGGCCAGCAATCCTATCAGAACCTCCTCCAGGACTGTGGGAGGCTGTTCGGCTCTCTCCATGGCCCGGAGCTTCTGGCTCTCTTTGCCCGATGCATCTGTGCAAGCACAAGCACTCTGTTTTAGTTAGCCTCGCCTTTTTGCCCTCAGTCCCGTTCTGCACCTCCGCATCCGCTCAGTTGCATCCCAGTCATGAAGCGAGGCTTTTCCACCATCTCCGTGCCCTTCATGCTCGACTACACAAGGAAGTATGGGCACTTCTCCCGTGGGTTCCTCGCAGAGCAGGTTGAGAAGAGTCTCCGGCCTGGATTCTTCGATTTCTTGCGGTACGAGGAGAATGGTGGCGTCCGGCCGCTGCCGCTTCTCGTAGCAAAGCCATGGTCCCTCGGACTTACATGGTGGCAGACCGAAACAATCCGAGAAGCTGCGCCTACCTGTTTCGGTTTCAGGAGCCTCGGGTCCTACACGCGGCTGATGACCAAGAGCTACATGAAGAGCCGCATGCACGAGCAGCTGAAGCTGCACGGCCATGTCCCGAATGTCGAGCAAGACACCGACCCAGCCTCTTCTGCTGCACCTGGAGGATACCTGGATATCGACGATCATCTGCTTTCTGCCTAAATGCAGCAACTAAGGACATGCCTGCAGAGGCAAGGGTCATCGAGCATCTCGCCCGTGCCGGGTCCTTGCGGGTCGAGGCACCGAAAGGGCCGTCACCAGAGGCCGGGCACAAAAAGGCACACAACGCATAAAGAGTCTTTGGACAGGACCTAACCTGGAACCTCTAACTCACCAGCACTACAAGTAATACTAGCCTTTCCAACTGCTTCACAACCGTACTCATGTTCGCGACACTCAGGGACTGCTCATGCTAAGCTTATCTGCTAGGTCCAAAGACCTGCGATGCTGGAGGCCATTGTCCAGGTAGGATGCTGCAAACGCCAACCCGGTTGTCACCACGGGCCCGAAATTACGTCTGGTAGCTAGTACGGCTCCATTCCTGGCATGTTTCCGTCCTGTTGCTTGTCCCAATCCGCAGCTTCATTTCGGGCTGCAGTGGTCTGGACCAGCAGCAGTCGAATCTGCCAATTCGCCAACACTGCTCAAGACAACTTGGAGCCACCTTAGCAGACACCACTTCCTGGGCTGTCGGTGGAATGAGACTGCTGAGAAGGTGTGCCCTGCCAGCGAACGGACCGGAGCTTTCGCTTGAAGCTGCCATGGACGCCCAGCGGTTGTGGAGCGAAGGGAGCCATGAGCCATTCCGAGGCAACTCTAGATGCTCGATCCGATTTGAATCAGCTCTGCTTCGTTGTGAGGCGAAGCGCTGGGTCATCGTCCAGCCCCAGTGGGGCCTCTGCAACCGTCTAAGGGCTGTGGCCTCCGGGCCAGCCTGTCTCGATTCGAATTGAGCTCCTCTCGGCTTCTCTCCGTGCCAGTCGCCAGGCGCATGCTCGCCGAGCACCTCTCTCGAAGTTTCCTTGTTGACTGGCAGCCGCTGCCCGGCTGCAACTGTACGTGGGATCGCGGGGACCTCAGCCGTAAGCTGAGGCAGCTGAGGCTTGAGGAAGCTGGAGTTCAAAGCTTGAAGCTCTGAAGGTCTCTTCTCTCCGCAATCAGTGAAGACATTAAGCGAAGAGCTTCAGGAGGCACGATGAGGTCTGCAGCAGCTGCACGTTGTTGGGAAACTTGTCTCGCGTGAGGATCCAGATCCTTCTGTGCTGGCTGCTGCCGAACTGCTGCAGGCCTGGGACGAGGCTGGTTGGCGAGCTGCAGCAGCTTTTCATGTTTGAGTCGCTTCTTGCGGCGTCAGCGAGGTCGCAATCTTGGTATTGCCGGCCTTGCTTTCCTGCGCTTGCCCCTGATTCGTGCTGTTCATGTTGGAGAGCTGCTTATGCCAGGCTCGCTGCAAACCTGACAGCCAAGAGCTCAGGCGCAGCGTCAGTGTAGCACCCGTTGCCCCTTGTCTGCGCGGTGCCCTCGCTCCTTTTGGCAAGGGGGGCAATGCGGAGCTTTGAGGCCTTCCACAAGGAATGCTACCGAGCAGGAGGGACGGCAACAGCTGGCTTCGGGCCTATAGCAGCCTAGCATGTGCGTGGCGAGCCAGGGCTAGCTTACCTTCTGGATGCTGCCTCCGAGAAATGGAGGTCGTGCTCGACTCAGCCCCGGCGGCTAGTAGTGTAGCGCGTTAAGATCTGAGTGATTTCAGTGCTGACGGGCGTCTCAGCAGTTCGGAATTCATGATGAAACAAACTGAGGTGCAGGCCGTTTCATGGATGCGACAGTCTGCCCTTCGGCTTGGAGCGCGAACAATAGCCAAACCCATCATGCTTCTTGAGTCTCGGAGACCCAGGCCGAGCTTCCTCCAGGTAGATGCCCGGCAGTGTTAGTTTTGTGGCGATGCATGGCGACTGCAGTCCACTCATTTTGGTGTCTATTCGGTCTCAGGATTGCCTTTGCATCAGAGCCTTCAACCCGTTCTACCCACCCAGGCGAACGAGAATGAAATGCACGGGATTTGTCATGCCATGTTGTGCTTGATGTCATATTCCAGTACTTGGCAGCGACACAGGGAGGAAGATCGGCAACAGCTCGCTGCCGAGCGGGCGGCTCACCTGAGAAGCTCGCTTGCACCGGTCGAAGTCCGAAGTCCGATGTGTCTTTCCCCACCCACTCAGCCCGGGGCCGCATCTGTGAGCCGTCGCTGAGATCACCTGGTGGCGGCTGCCTCCGTGCGCCAAAGGCTCTGGCAGTTGCCCGAAGGCCCCCTGCCCCGAATCACTGCAGCCCGAACTGCAGTCAGCCGCTGCAGCCTTGCAGGCACGGTCTCGGTTCACATCCGCCGCACGGACCATACTAAGGCCAGGGTTGCAGTCAGCTCATCTAGACTTCGCCCCTTGACAAGGCTGCTTGATGCCCCTTGTGAGGCCATTGCGAGATCGCCTGAGGACACCTGCGCATGCGATGTGTGCAAGAAATGTTCGTGAATGGAACCGTTTCCAATACTGCAGGGGAGCAAGGTTGACGTGTAGTGAGTGATGCAGCTGTGTCCTGCCAAATCCTGCACACATGTGTGTGTGTGTGTGTGTGTGTGTTCAGGACCTGTTCGTACAAGCCATGGACTCTTATGGAACAGTTACCTGACTTCAGAAGCTAAAGCAGACACATAGTCAGAGGCGTTTTGCCAACCTCGACAAAGGAAGCCAAGTTCTTCTTAGCGACGGACGACGCCGAAGTCGAGTCGCGGCTGCGACGGCGTTGCTCTGGCACAGTTCGGGTTTTGCTGTGGGCCGAATACAATCCAGCACCGAAAAGGCCGTATGCACAGGGGAGGGTGAGGAGTCTGGACATGCCAAGCCCTGCGCCACTCTAAAAACTCGCTCGCATTGATGCCGCGTGCAGTTTTTGTTTGCTACCTTTTTCTCTTGATCCTTTTTTTTCCTGTGTTTTCAGGTGTGTGGGGGGGGGGAAACAGCCCACTTTGCTGCAGCTGAATGTACACAGCGCTGCTGGCACGCCCCTTCATCTGAGACGTCCTGGAAGGTTCCACGATATTTCAAGCCTTACAGGAATTAAATAGTGCTGTTGCTGTTGCTGTTGCTCTTGTTGTTGTTGTTGTTGTTGTTGTTGTTGTTGTTGTTGTTGTTGTTGTTGTTGTTGTTGTTGTTGTTGTTGTTGTTGTTGTTGTTGTTGTTGTTGTTGTTGTTGTTGTTAATGTTAATGTTAATGTTAATGTTAATGTTATTATTATTGCTGTTCTCGTTGTCGCTATTATTGTTGCCATTGATATGATCTTCATTACTAGTGTTGTTGCTGTTGTTGTTGTGGTTGTATTGTGGTCGTGTTTTGTTCTTGTTAGTGTTAATGGTCTTGTTACTGTTCTTGCTGTCCTACACTTTAATATGATTCGCGATAAATTGAAACAAACATAATATAGTATAATATAATATATGATAACATAATCTAAAGTGAAACAATGACGCATCCCTCTTTTGCAAACAGAATGCTTTTATGATGAGTTTTGAAAAGCTCTAAAGCAGCTTTGTGTTTGATGCAAGTCTTGTTCATGATGCGATGTTCTTCAAAGCAAGCCTGCACGGTTTAAAACGAAATAGGGGAGTTGGGGGGGGGGGGGGTTGGGGGGCGCCCCCCCCCCCCACCCCCCCCATTTGCAAACACAACGTCTTTATGACCGGTTCTGAGAGGGTCCATATGGGTTCTGTCTTTGCCGGCAGGATGATACTCGAAGCGACCTTGCTCAGTCTAAAAATGTGAATATAAATAGAATTTAACATGACATAACATAATATAGTATAACATAATGTGATATAGTTAAATATACCATATAATATAGTATAATATATAATATGACAAAATACATTAAACTATGCAGAAATATATTATTATAAAATGTGATATGATATACTATGACACATTGTAATATACTTTAATATAGTATAGCTTACTTTTTATGGTATGAAATAATAACGCAAAAATATTATACAAATAAGGTCGCATCATATAACATCAGAAAATAAGTTGTAAGATAATCTGATATCGCTTCATATAGAACAATATAATGTGGTAGAATATAATACAATATACTAGAAGATACATCGGGAGGACAAAAGTTTTGACCTACTGGATCTGTCTCATCTTAAGGCGTCTTGCGGAGTAGCGGAGTACCGAAAAGTGCGATTTACGTGGCCTGGCCAGCGGAGTATTTTATGATTACACCGTTTTGAAGTTATACTACTTTAATGTTCCGGTTGAGTAGCCGGTTGCTCCTGCTTGTTAGGATTCTATGGGGGAATGGGGGCCTGTGTTCGACGAAACAAGGAGTAGGTCAAACTTTCGTCTTACCGCAGTAATACATTCTAATATGTGTATATATATATATGTAACTTAATATAACATAGTATATTATAATACACGAAGCTATAAGCAGTCGAAAGGCCAAGACGCCGAGCGGCCGAGAAGCCAAGAAGCCACCTCTGCTCACCCTTGCTTCGAAAGGTATACTTGTAACCTTATACACATACTATACATCCTGAAAACTGGATCAGAGGACCAGGGGCTGCACCGGACTAGGGGACCAAGAAGACCAAGGGACCAGGGGACCAGAGGACCAAGGGGACAGGAAAAAAAGGGAGCAAAAAAAAGGAGTGAAGAAACACGAATTCCGAATTTGATATCTATTGATGGAATGGCTCGGTTCCATCTAATCTCATCCTTGGAAACCTTGACACAGCCAGGTTATGGTCAGCGCCTACTGACGCAACCCAAGCGCACGCTCAGCCGCAATGATCCGGATGGAGCTGGACTTAGCGCCTCTGTCTACTGCCGATGCGCAATGTCTTCTGCGATGCAGAATTCGACGAAGCTGTAACGCAGCGCTTGACGCAAGGGCAAAGCTTCAAGCTGTCTTGGGAGAACCGCACGGCCTACGCCCATAATCAAGCTTCGAGGCATTGAAGATGCCCTGTTGGACCTGCTGATGCTGTCGCAGGGGAGTGAGGCAGGGAGCTAAATGTGGGATTGGTGGGATTAGGGTTCTCAGTTTTCCATTTATGCCCTTTGGATTTTCGGCTACCAGCCCTGCCTTCCCATCAGGCTGCCTCCCGCGTTGCGATTCTTGTGAGAGTCGGTCGTGCGACTGTTGTGAGTGCGGCTTGCTCGTGTCATCGCGGGCTCCAAGACTCATTGTGCCATGACAGCCCAGCTCGATTTCAGAGCTCTGCAGAGTGCAGGTCTTGGGCTCTTACAAATCCTCCTTCTCTGCAATGGCTGCGCACTTCCGGTGCATTCCGTCGCCCCGGCCTGCCAATTTTGCCCTTGCGTAAGACAGAGGGGGCGCGCCTTTTCAACGTCACGAGAGTCGTCACGAGAGCTGATTGCAACGCCAGGCTTCATGTTGTGGACATCTGTCCCGGAAATTCTCCCGACCCGGCTGGAGCCTGACACGCTCACAGGCCTTGAATTCCCAGCTTCGGTGAATTTTCGACTTTCGTTGAGGCTGCCAGGGTCGGAGCAGGCTTCCGGGAGGTGTCAGTGGTTGCAGCCGACCCGGAGGATGACTGAGACTGGCCGCATGTCCGGGGCGGAAAGCTCGACTTCACAGGGTAGCCAAACAGTCACAAACAGGCTTCGAATGTTGTGGATGTTCATTGTGAACACCTACCAAACAATGTATCTCTAAAATTCTCTAAACTCAGAACCCTCAAATCCATCTGACTTGGCTATTCTGCATTGCCGCCCATGCCGGGCCAGGTCCGGGTGATCGGCGCGTCGGAAAAGGGCGGTTTGCAGTAGGCGAGATCTTCTGGAGTCTTAGAGTCTTAGTCAGTCTTAGTCTTGCTTACCGAAGGCCCTTTCTGAGCCTGTGAGGCGGAATACTCTGGCGTTGGTTGGGATGCCACTCAGGCTGCTGACGGGCCGTCGACCAAGGAGAAGCCACGTCCGTTCATGAGAGGAGCTCGACGTGCCATAGCAGAAGCCGAATTGCACGATTCAGATGGCGAAGGATATTCAGACTTCTACGATTCCGATGACGAGGAGCCGGTCAGCGACGACGAGGGCGGTACAACTGGAGGAAAGAAGTTTGGACTACAATTCGAACGAGTAGTGCCTGACTCTGCTTATTCTGCCATTGCAGAGGACGGTGCTCTGGTTGATGCTGAAAAATTTCAGAAGGATTCTGCTTCTGCTTCAACCGAGTTGGAAGAGGCATTTGCTGATCGCTGGTGGTCTCAATTTCGACGCCATTTTTTCAGACATAACTATGGGGCATACCGTTTGATGGATGGTCGATGGCAGCGGGTGCCGGATCCCAAAGGCCCCCGGTACAAGCCACGGCAGAGGAAGAGGCCCCGCGGCCAAAAGAGAGAAGAAGCACAAAAGCGAGAAATGCGAGCAGCAAAGCCTCCTGGAGTTTGACGGTCGAATTGGGGCTGTTGAAACCAGTTCTGCATCGCTGCTTGTGAGACTTCCGCTTGGCCTCGCCTCACGAAAGAAAGACCGTCACCTGCTTAACACACGATCTGACGTGTGGAGATGGTTTCCATTGCTCATCCAGCCGCCAGCAGAACTCTAATGACTTTGGATATTTATAAAGGATGGCAATAACAACAGTATGTTCAGGTAGTAGCTCCAGTATAGATCGGGAGGAAACAACTGACCCCTCTTAGCGCAGCAGCCTATGAAGAATTACGAATAAGCATACCTAGATGTCTTTTTGCAGTCTTTTTGCTTATTCTCGTCCGAGGCGTGCTGCTCAACCTCAACAGGTGATGTATTGTTTGACTGGTTCTCTGTGACCTGTAAATGCCCTCCCCTTGGACAACAAATACGACAAGACATTTACCATATTGCTTAGCCCGCACAGCTCTCCCAGACATCTCGTGCCAGCTAGGTTTTAATTCTTGTAGGTGTGTCGCATCAGGCTGTGTATACTGACGCATGAGCCGTCACACATGCACGCAATAAGCTCACACGCTTACGCCGGCCCTTGCTGTTCACATTCACACAGATTAGATTCTTGAGAAACTATACCGAGACCGTTCATGACGAAGGCCATAGACTGAAGTGCTCAGGTTCACCCAGGGAGAAGCCTACACTACACCGAGCGGCTGTGAAATGATTTGGCCAAAATGCAGAGAAGCATGCGCACAAAGTAACCTGGACACGCTGAGTTTACCGACTGCGATTGTAAAGGCATTTCGACAAAGCATCATCCTTGTGGCAACTGCCAATGCCGTGCGAGAAGTCTCGCAAATGACGTCTGACAATGACTGCCAATCGGAGGAGTTCTTGTGGAGCTTGGGTGTTGGAGCCTCGCTTCCTTCTTGGCTGCAAGAGATGCGCCACGAGCAGCGGCGACGGGGGCTGAATCAGGGCTCTCACGTCGACACGCACAGCAAGGAACGCCTGGGCATTGGGCCTCAAGTTGGGAGCGGCCAGCATGCGGCACCCAGACGAGCGACGAGAGGTGCCGTGACAGTCCCAGAAGTGGAGATCAAAGACCAAACGGTTCAATCCTCGGTGTGCAAGTGGCTGCCACATTTTGCCAGGCGTCTCGCATGTGTTTACTCAAGGCTGCCGAAACCTTGGTGAGCCCAAGACGGTGCGGCGGTCGCAGTGTCGCACGAGCAGCAACTGCCGAATAAGTGTTGCACGCGCATGTTTTTTGTGACAGGGTTTGCCTGGCGTTGGAAAGCTGCAGCCTGAAGGCAAGGCCCCGAGTTTCAAGCACACCTGTGCTGTTTCGAACTTGGCAGCGCGAGGACTGGCTCGTGAGCCTTGATGAGGCCGGTTTTCTGGCACCTTGGCAGTTTCACTGCAGAAGATCTTGTGAAAGAGTAACTCCTGGAAGCACTGAGGTACAATACCATGACAGCATTGCGGGCAAGCTGGACAGCGTGGCGCAAATTGTTGAGACGTACGCGAAGGCAAGGTAAGACTGAACGATGCGGCGCTGCCCAGTTTACGATCCATAACCTCTGTTGAAACTACAGGACTCAGGCGAAGTTGATCCTCAGTTTTTCGATGATGCTGGGATCACCAAATTAGGACTCATTCCAAGTCCCGGAAAAGATTCTTTACACTATGTTTTTACAGCCTCGTCAGGACATCGCCGCCTTTTCCAGAAATGGTTTCGCGAAAACTACTTCGTTGGAGGCCTTTCAGCAAGGTACAACAGTTAGCCAAGCTCGAAAGATAACATGACGTCGATGTGCTGCCCTTGCGTCGCCAGGCCCGAGACATGTTGCGGATCAGACCTTGGTTGGAGTCCAGCACGAGGAAAAGACTTTCAATGGCATGCCTCAGTGCCTCAGTGGTAAAATGAAACTGCGCTGAAGTTGCCACGTGTTTTGCAATGTCTTTGGGCTCAATCAGCTGGTCATGCTTTTGGGAGCAGGAAATCATGGAGCTGCTCAAGCTACCCGCACAGTCGGGCTCATCAGGTGAATCTGTTGGTTCAACCGCAGTCATAGTCAGTTGCAGCAAATTCAGACTTTAGCGGTAGCGTCGAAGAGACGTCCCGTAGCTTTGCCACATGCTCTGGCACTGCCATGCTTGAAGAAGATGAGCTTACGAGGTCGAAGCTTTGGGCGGCCCTCTGGGGCTCACTGCCGTGCAATGTCGACCAGCGGGCACAACTTTTGGAGATATCTGAGATGCTTAAGTTGCAAAGTCCACGAAGCACAGAGTTCCCGACTGCCGCTGGGGATCTCGAGGAAAGCGGGAGCGAGTCTGCAGACTCGCTGAGAACACATGGAGTTAGTATCCAGAGCTGTGCCGCAGAATCGCTGCGGGAGATCAGTCTGTCTGACCCTAGTTTTTTGTATCATTCAAATCCCAGCCTGCTACACGAGCCTTGTCCGAAGCGGTTCACAGTGCTGACTTGGAACGCGTGTGCGATCTCCTTTCCACTGCACATTCATCCTGCGAAGTTTGTCGTGGGCCTGACACTTGGATGCTGGTGGCACGACCGTCATTGTGATGTGCCGATGCGTCTGGACCAGGACGAGGGCATGTTCCGCATTTGTTGTTTGGCTCATGTGGTATCATGTTGTTCCAGCGCTGTCCATTGTGATATTGTATCGTAAGTTGTTGCTACTTGAAGTCTGAGTGTTTGTCTTGCTCGTAAAATACGGCGCATGCGATGAACATGTTGACGAGGTTTCTAGTGTCATTGCTCAAGCAGCGCCATACAAACTAGCAGCGAGAAGTATCTGCGGACTTCTTGAACGGCCGCATGTATTTGCACAAAAGATAGTATGACATTTCATGTAACAGCTGACAACAGCATCAACCCTAATTCGAACTCAGCCTGACTACGTGGAATCTGAAGGGGGGTCAGAATGTTCATTGTGCTCCTTGTCAGGCTTGTTTCCGCTGTGATGCGACTGATGCACGTGTACGCAAGTAGTGCGAGTTCGATCTTGTTTGCTACTTTCGTTCTGTGAACGTGAATGAATATCGTGTTGATGCCTGACAAGGTTACATCTGCTCATATGATCATATTGTCCAGTAGGTCGTGTCATTCGTACTTTTCGCAGATCTCATACTATTATGCTGCTCACCTTCTGTAATGTGAGTCTTCTCGTTCATGTTGGCATCCAAACCATACACCTTTAGTTCATGTGTCGTGTTGAGCGTCGCAGGCGGCTTCAGGCATTCAGTTTCGAGTACACAATTCGAAGCATGTTCGCTGCGACCATGGTCTGCAACAACTTTATCACCGCGTGAGAAGCTGCAACATGTAGTTCATGCTGAACAGGTCAGCAGCACTTCGTTGATGCAATTTTGTTGCAGTACAAACACTACGGTTGGTGGCTACGATAATCACAATGATGAAAGTATATCCCTCTTCGGAAGCTTCTGGTACTTAGGAGTTGATTAGTTAGTGATTACTCGCAGCTGTCTTTTTCCGTGAGGACAGGGCCCAGGCCCGGTTTGCTCGGCAAGCTGCTTATATCCAAGACTCGGGAGCTGACCTGGTGTTGCTTCAAGAGGTGTTAAGCACCTTGATGGTTCAGAGCCTCATGCGCCACCTTTCCGACTTCGACCACACTTACCTCACCAGTAGGCCCAAGCCTGCAGCTTGGGTACTCTGGACGGGATTCGTGTGCCTCGTTTCCCTTGTACAGTGCATCCTGATTGAGGTGCCGTTCTATGCGTTGAGAGCGAGTGAGGGCACCTGGCTTTCTTTCTTTGTCCGCTGGATGATCCTTGCCGTAATCCTTGCTCTCCGATGGCGGAACTCCGTTCCTGCCCATTTCCTGCTTGGTGATGTGGCAGGACAGCTCGTGGTATTGCGCCGCAAGGAAAGTAAAGCCTTGGCTGGGGGCGAGTTTGGTGCTGAAGGCTTCGAGATCTACGACTCAGGCTTTCGAGCAGAACGTCACGAGAATCCTGTGAACAAACGAGAGTCTGCAATCGAGGCGTCGTCGTGGCTCAACGTATTCTTCAACGTTCGGCCACGAGGGGTTCTTCGTGTAAGAGTTCCTTTGAAGCGGGCAGCAAGACCTGCAGTTTTGACGCTGTTGAACACGCACATGCCACACAACTGCGACAATTCCGACCTCCTGCAGAGTCTTGGAAGCTTCGCAGGAGACCTGGCCAAGCAAGGCGGATGTCTGCTTCCAGTAATGAGCTACGATTGGCCGACTAACAGACAGTTGTGTTGTCTTTGTCGTGGCATCGGCTAAACGGCTTGCTGTGTGTTGCAAAGAGATAGGTGCACTTCAGATTCTCTGTTTCCTTCGTTCTGTCTCTCCAAAGTCAAGAAAACGAGCCTGTCTCCTTATGCAGTGCCACTCGTATCGACCATGTAGCAGCACGTGAATGGACGAACCTGTTGTTGAACCCTGCTGTGCAGAGGCCCTGTGATTCTTGCTGGCGACTTCAACCCTTTGCCAGACATTCCGCTCCATTTTCAACTCGATCCCTTGCTCCAAAGCGGCTTAGAAGCTGCAGGTGGCTTGGATGAAGATTTCTGCACATGGGATTTGAACCAACCATTGACTCGAGAGAACGCCGGCACTCCGCGCACCATGCAGCTGGACTTCATCTTCCATGTGTGCCCAGCCGCTCGGGTGCCTGGTGATTCAGAGGTCTGCACATCAGGTCTGGGAGGCTACAGAGACCACAGAGACCACAGAACATTGGAAGACTGTGGCTCTTACGACTTTCTGGATCTCACGGCTTTGCGCACGACAATCGCCGACCAGGAGAAATTTTTTTGTGAGGGCGACCCACTATCCGATCACTATGGACTCATTAGCGAGTTTCAGATCGGTTGAGAGTCCTCCAAATTACTAAACTCTAGCATGACCTTGCTTGCAGCCAGAAATATGCTAGTATGGCTCCACTCAGCAGGTCTGGAGTTGCATGTTCCGGACGGAGCCTTGCCTGTCCGGCTGATTTTCCAGGGAAGAATGCGCAGCACACGAGGCGACACATGCAAACGCATGTATCGCCAATCTGCCGCTCCAGCCTCATGCCGAATCCTTTCCCCTCAGGTCCTGCGTATGCCATGTATGCCCTTCTACAGTCCTCCTTTATCAGACCAGTTTCTACCTGTAGCTCCCGGCTCTCGGCCGCGAGCAGAGGCGGCCCTGTAGATCCCTTAGCAGTCAATTCAGGCACCCGGACTCATCACTCGGCTCACTCTTCACTCGGCTGCTTTCGGTGGCCTGATTCACACTTGGTTGAAGCCTCCTGCACAGCCTTGTACTTGCATGCAAGCTGCCCCGAGTGTGGCTGCCAGCAAGAGCCTGAGCGAGGAAATGTAGAACTTGCGATGTCGGGGCTGCGTCGACGTTGACGTTGCTTCCAGCTGTTGCCGTCTACGCTGCTTCGCTGGTTGATGCTTGTGCCTGGCTTCAGAATTCTGGTTCTGGATAAAGCAATGCTTAGCCTCAACAGCCGCCACGGCCGCTAGCAGCTGGAACCACCAAATATTCAGATGTTGCAGTGAGCACTGCTCCTCGGCGCATCTTCGTCATGCAGTGTCGAGAGGCGAGCACCAAGCCTGTCAAGCTCAAGCTTGCATCGAATGTCCTATGTCCAGCAGCAGCAGCAGCACCACCACCACCACCACCAACCCCTGAACACAACTCTGACGGCATCTTCGGCACCTACAACACCCCACAAAGCCGTCATAAAAACGTGCTGGACACGCTGACACGCCTGTACCCAGTGGCCCGAAGTTGCCTGGCACGCGTGGCCATGGACTTGGAGGCGATTTGGGGCTCTGAATCTTTCGGCTTCAACTGCCCATGTGTCGTAAAGTGGTAAACATGGGGGGGGGAACTCTCAGAATTCTCAGAATTGCAGTCATGCTGACCAAATGCGAGGCCTCCGACCATGAGGGCCCTCTCTGCACTTCTCGTCCAGTTCACCCTGGCAATGAAGGCCCAAGAATTCTTTGGAAGTGAGGATGTGTCAATTACTTGGTCCTTAACACCAAAGTTAAAACCTCACATCTGGGCTGGGAGTTAAGCCCTACGAGCATTAAACCTCGGCCCTGAAGAGGTGACTTTGCCTCCCATCCGTGCCGAGCCGCCATTAATTCTTCTCATGCGTGGCGCTCGATCTACTCGGCTCTCATGTCAGAGGAAGGAGGATGAGACGCGGGTACGAGATTCGCACTGTGTAAAACGCATAGACTGCGCTCCCCCTGCAGTGCTGTGAGCATATTGGTGTGTAGATCGCGCTCTGCCGCATCTGTGAAGTTGTGGCAAGCTTCAAACTTCAGACAAATCCGGTCCGATTTCGTGGGTAAGGCCCTGTGCAGCTATCCTCACTTCATATTGACTGAATATCGTGCTCCTGCCATATTAGTATCGTCGCTCGTATTTTCACTCGAGGGCTGGAGTTACATTTCAGTGGGGTTGGTGATTTCAGTAACGTGTTGGAAGCGGGACCGTCCTGGCACCTAGAGGTGTGTTTCTGCAATGGTTTGGAGGTATATATGGTCACGCGCTCTGCGCCCCCCCCCCCCCCCCTGAAAGGTCAATGGTCCGGATATAGGGTGGGACCCCCCCTCCCCTGTGGTGTGGGGGTGTGGGGTCCCTCTTCCCCCTGTGGGGTGGTTGTGGGGTTTTGGGGTTTAGGGTTTAGCTTAAGCTTTTGAGTGTTGGGTTTACGGTTACAAGGTATAACGCTTCGAGTCGACAAGGGCTTAGGGAGGATTTGCGGTGTATGTTCTGCTTTAGGCTTAGAGCCTGCAGTTAGGTGGGGTTTAGGGTTGGGTGTAGGGTTGGAAGTACAAGTTAAGGTTACTCAAAACAAGGGCACGCGCTGCGTTATAGGGTTTACGGCTTGCTTGCGAAGGGCTTGCGTGCGAGCCTTGGCCGCCAGCACCATCCCACCATCCAGTGGCAGCTCCAACGGCCCAGCCCCGACCCCTTTCCGCACACGCCAGCCCCCCCCCCCCACCCCTAGCAGACCATACCATTGGGGGGGGGGGGGGCTGGGAACGCCAGACGCCTGACCATATATGTCGGTATTCCCGTCTTGCACTGCTTTGTCTGTTGTACCCCGCCCTTTCTGGTACTGTTAGCACCCTTTTTCAGTGCTGTCGCAGTCGCCAGAAAACTCGTTACTAAGTGACTAGCACTAGCGTTGTGTGTTATTACTGTTCCTGCGTTTGCTACCTCTGCTCGTGAGTGCCACTACTCTTATTACTCGTACGACGACGAGTACTAACAGCGCGGTTACGACAGCGATAATAACACGACGACGACGATGGAGCGGCGAAGACGACTGCTACTGCTGCTGCTATCCAAAACCCCACTCCTACTCCTTCCCCAACTTCTGCTCCTATGCCTGCGTGCTATTACTTTTCTGCTACTACGGCGACGACAACTACTACTGATTGCTACAACTACGACGAGTACGACCACGACGACGACTACTACTACGACTACTCCTACTACTCCTACTACTCCTACTACTACTACTACTACCACCACCACAGCTTCTACTGCTGCAGCTACTGCCAGCGCTACTGCTACGGCTACTGCTACTGCTCCTGCTCTGTTCCTGCTGCTATTGCGACTGCTACTGCTACAGTTATAGTTACTGCTGCTGCTGCTGCTGCTGCTACTCCTACTCCTACTCTTATTTCTACTACTACTACGACTACTACTACTACTACTACTACTACTACTACTACTACTACTACTACTACTACTACTACTACTACTACTACTAATACTACTACTACCACCACTACCGCTACCACCACCACCACCACCACCACCACTTCTGCTGCTGCTTGCACTGCTACCATTGCCTCCAGCCCACCGTCACTCTACTTCAAGAAACACCGAATTCCTAAAGCTGAGCTGTTCTAGGTCCGACCTCGGCCTGGCACCCGGGGCCGTGATCGCAGCCAACATCACTGTGACACAGGGCAGTGCAGCACGGAGCTTAGCCCGTCGTGATTTGGAATCTCGTTGCTACATGCTGTATCGCAGCGCTCCGGCCTTGTCCTGTCCGAGCTGGTTTCGGATACGGCCGCTCTGCTGGTCCGCTCGTCTCCTTCCACTAAACGTGACTTGAGGTCCTCATGCTTTTCACCAAATCAGAGGCTCACGTAGTCCTGCAAAATCTGTGATGTCATGGACCACTGAAGCAGGGCTTGTCTTTGATTGTCAGTTGCTGTCGTGGGAAAGATCGCTGATGAAACTACCTCAGCAAGATCTGCAAAATGCCACCTCTTACTTTCGTAGGTCCGGCACTCAGACTCCTGCACTGAGCGGGTGCTCATCATTGCTTTTTCCCGCATCTTTGCTCCTGATAGCTCGCATCATTGGTCCTCTGCCAAATGAACCCAGTCAATGGAGACAGCCTTTTCGACATTATCTCTCTGCGAGGACCTGTATGTTATGCAGCACGAAGATCCCGATTCCACAGCGCTGCCCACCAGGATGACAGTGCCGGGCCCAAAGCCGGAACGCTATGTCGTCGGGATCCCGGTGCATCACGAATGTCTGTATCTAGTATCAGCGCATTTCACCTTGGCTCGGTGTAGCCAAGCTACCAGCTGTCGTGCCTGGAACAGCCCTTGGTGGTCACGAGTTTGTACCGAGCACATCGGGCCTTGGGAAGGAATAAATGAATATGATTGACTGGAAGACAGACCCTGATGAGTTTTCATGAGTATTTCTGAGGTTGGTCTTTTCCACAGTCGCGGAGCTGAGCAAACATTTGAGGCGAGACTTGCCACCGCAAGCGAGCGGGACAAACGCTATTGTTTTCTTGGGATTGATTCGTTGAGGGCAACAAAGCCATGGCCGTGGACACTGATAGCGGCAGACTTCAATAGAAAGTTATAATAAGTTGAACGGTCAGCATTGTCTGGGGTCAAAATCTGTCACGGTCTCTGGCAAAAAAACGGAAGCAGCAAGGACGTCGGCTTCACGACTTGAGGCAATTCAGGTTGTGCAGCCTTGGTGGAACAGCAAAATCAGCTGCGCTCTTTGCAGGCATTCGCTGCAGCATGCTGCATCCTTTTCTTGCCTGTTGCAGCGCTCGCTACTTCACAGGATCATCTTCACAGGTTCGCGCTCACAGCTGACAAGCAAGCGACAAGCGAATTGTGGGCATCTACCAATTGCATTCCGAACAGAAAGGGCATCATGCAGAGTCGCAGAGTCGACCTGTCGAATCCAAGCATAACACCATGACCACGAGAGACAGTGGGTGGGCTGAAGGCCACACTTCTAATATGAGTTGTTTTCTCCCTAGAAAAATTCGGAGATGCAGCATTGTTCTTCATGCTCATGTTCGTGTTCGTGTTGTTGTTGTTGCTGCTGGTGTTGTTGGTGGTGGTGGTGGTGGTGGTGTGGGTGGCGGCGGCGTGGGCGGTGTTAGTGGTGTTGATGTTGATGGTGGTGATGGTGGCGTTGGTGGTGTTGTTGCTGTTTATTGCCTCTGCTGCTTTTCTTCATATTAGTTTTTTCTTCCTAAGCACCTTGACGATGTTGGTCGGACAATGCTGTGTCGGGAGGTTTGGGGAGGCAGTTTTTGGGGTGACCACTCATGAAGAGTCTCCTAGGTTCTTGCAGTCAACCACCAGTCACTAGACCAGTCACGCATTCCATTTCCCGCTATTGGAAAAGCAGCGAGCCGCGTAAACCATCAGACTTTCCAGCCAATGCCGTCGCATGAAAATTGATGAGTCACAAATTCGGCAAACCACCGTAAAGGCAACAATGACAGGCTTACTGGTGAAGGAGCTGGTTAGCTGGCTAGGTGGAAGCAGTGGCTGGCTGTTGCAATGGCTTGATGGCTTGATCCGGTTTAGACATGGACAGCTATGTTTCCTGCTACAACTTCATGCCCACCAATCCCGGGCTGTAAGCGCTAAACCGCTAAACCACGTATCGTACATTGGTCGTTGCACTTCGGCGGCAGCTGGTCTGTGTACTGTGAACAAGCAGGGCAATGTCGTCAGTCATACTAGCTTTTACAAGTAACCGTGCTTTAAACTTGTTTCGAAGAGTATCCAATTCCATGTGTTGCAACTCGCCTCGGCTTTTAGAGTGCTGCATTTTGTTCAGGGAGACCTGCAGTTCGTCAATCCTGGGAACCAGCATCTACCTCTTCAAGCGGCCCCCTACTGACCATGCGAGATATGAGCGATTTCCAATCCTTCCTTCGGCCCTCGTGTACATTGAGGTCTATTTGCCTCGCATCTTCGAAGTGTCAAGCATTGCCTTCCTGGTACTTGTCCAAGCCACGGCCATGCTTGCATGGTTTGGCACGGTTCGTTTGCATTTACGAAAACAGGCCTGGGTCTGGATGAAGTGTAGGCCAATGCGGTTCCTTGGAGTGGCCCGCCCTCGCCCCCCTCCAACTTTCTATCATCGTGTTGACGTCCAGCTTGCTTTCATCCGGTGGCGGCTTTTTAGAGCTTGGTGCCCGAAGCCCAACACAAGCAATGTTCCAGCCCGCTTGCCAGCTCATCATGATGTGCAGCGTGGGTTCGGGCGAACGGCACAAGCTTCATGTCTTGCTCATGGCGGCCACGGGCGTGAAGGCCTGCAAGAATCGGCACTCTTGGGAGCATCTCATGGAGAGCGTCATCTTTGTGACTGACTCTCAAGTGAGCTTGCCTTGGTCATGTCAAAGGGGAGCCAGAGCTTCAAAGCTACAAAAATACAAGTACCACTGCTCTAAAGGGCCCTTGAAAACATCCGTCCTTGAGATAGGCGAAGTCGTGCCTCGGAGCCATGGCAATGGCAGCCATGGACGGAAGCTCCCCGGCCAGGAAGCGCCCTCGCTGCTCGAGTGGCCAGGCGCGGACGATCCGATAAACTTCCCGCAGCTCGTGACAGTGTCTTAAAAGAGTTAAGCCTTTAGCGCGACCCCTTGAAACGGCAGGACACTCAGCGGAGCAGTCAGGTGCACCAAGAGGTCCTGGACTTTCTGAGTGACACGCTGACAACAGCCTCGCAGAAGGTCGCCAAGTCCCACCTGCGCATGAAGGCTGCTTACGAAGAACAGCAGGAGGCTTTAGTGCTCCAGGAGGCAGACCTCGCACTGGCACTTCACGCCCTGCGTCAGACAGGCTCTGAGCTTTGCCGACGTCAGCTGGAGATCGCAGAGACTCGTGCTCGGACGGATGAAGCTGGACGTGCTCTGGACAGTTTACAGCCCGTGGCCCATCTTGTGGAGAGCGTGAAGGTGCTTTTGGAGAAGGGCCCGGCCGAAGACAGCGCAGACGCCACTATGCGCATGCTGCAGCAAGCCCTGCGCAACCTCGGAGAGAACTCACTTGCCGATGTGGCGCCCAAGGTCCTTTTTATGGAGCCCCACCTCCGGGATGGCTTTGCCAAAACAGTTGAGCATCACTTGGTGCAAGAGATCACCAAACTCGAAGAAACCGTGGCCCAGATGCTCGACCTCACATTAATGAGCTTGTCAGGGATCGATGAGATATTCATGCACTATTTGTCTTCTCAGCCAACTGAGGGCGAAATCTCGCTGCACGGAGGCATCGCAGACATTTCAGCGCGCACAGGCGGCGTTTGCAGACGCCACGCGTGCAGACAGCTACGCCGCGGAAGAGGTGTTGCACTGCATTCAGCCTAATTTTTACAGGTTCCTGTGTGGGGCCTTCAGCCTCCCGTGCTTGACAAAGTGAGGTGCGCAAGAGGAAGGCGGCTTACGAGGTTTGCGACAGCATTGCCAGCCTCAAAGTCGGGGTCCTGTCTGCCAGCCGTCTCCGTGCAGACTGCTTCGACCAGGACCACCATCGACGGGTGAGCACGCACAGAGAGGCCTTGATGCACGCGGAGGAGAAGGACAGCGGAGTATCTTCAGGTTGGGATCGGGCTCCACGAAATTGTGTCAGTTTCTCGACTGGCTGCAGGACGCATGCTTTAGTCATCTTGTGGCGCCGCTCACCTGGAAGATGCCCAGCTGAAGATCGCGGATTCTTTCTGTCTAATATCCGAAGTGTACGAGAGATTTTTATCCAACATGAGGGCAAAGTCTTCCAAACACCGACACATCTTCAACAACATAGTGTCTGTGCGAGCCAGATCGTAGCTACTCGGAGACACATGGAGACCCCGATTCCGACGCTAAGCCTTCATTCTTTAGGCCTCCGCTCGAGGTTCGCAAAACGGGGCAGTTGAGGGGACGTGGCGGTGAGGTGCAGTCTTGTTTGTGGATGCTCCTGCTTTCCGATGTCATGGGACACACTGTGAGCGTCCTGGCAGAAGGGCATGTTGCAGCAGCAACTGTGTTGCGAGCACTTTGGAAGCCAATCCGGCTTGCTGGCGGGACGCTTGTTGCATCCCGAAACGAGTGAGCGTGAATCTTGGGGTTTTTGTTAATGGTACTTTTGGCCTTGCACACGCTGCTTTGATTCTTCCCGGTCCTGCGACCACATGAGAGGCGACTGGGATTTGCTTCAAGGCCGAATTACCCGAATTGCCCCACGGCATGCGTGCTCGTGCCAACGGAACTGCAACAGCTCTCATGAAGCTGCCGCGCTTTTCAGTTTGTTGTCATACCCGAGTTGTGATTTGTCATTCAGTCGTTGCCTTCGCGATACCGACTCTTTACATCCGTCTCCGAAACGTGCTTCCGGAATTTCTGCCCACAGTAGCGATGGAAGCCCTTGTTTCATTCTCACGTTGTTGTGTTCTTTCATCAACACTTGCAGGGCTTTCTCATGCGCCCTTGCCACAGACTTCGCCACTTGTCGGTCCAGTATCTTCCAGGAGAGTGACTGACGCAGACAGAGAAGTTGCAACGGAAGCCAAGGACTTCATCACAAATTCATGAGCAGGCAGAGAGCGACTCAGGCAAGGTGATCGTCTTGGTCTGCCGTGCCGGTGCAAAAGTGGCAGCACATCAATTAAATGGTTCCCCGTCACGATATGTAGTGTGGGGTTGTTCACCCCGTGGCAGGTGAAGGATCAACCTCTGCACCGGAGACTCCCCGTGGTGCAGAGGGCCGATGGGAACACGAAGACACTTGAAAGCAATTAGCTCGCTCTGTTGCGTCATGCCACAGCATATGGGTTCGACTGGCAAGGAAAGACCAACACCTCCCAAGCCCGTTCGCTGCACGGACAAAGACCAAGATTTGGCTTGTGCGTTCAAGACGTCATGCCCGGCACTGCAGGGTTTGGGAGGCCAACTCAGCTGAAGTTGCTGGAGAGCCTTGGCCCCTGCAAGCCGTGAACTGTGCAGTTATCGGTATGCCGACGGGGCTTAATTCACCTGCACGATGTACAGCCCGCCACCGTTGTACGGAACTCACTTGTGAAGCCTTTCTGGCTTAGTGATTGTGCTCTAGACGGTTTCCTTCTCGAACTGGGTACGTGTGAGTCCGTCCGATTGACCTGGCTCGTAGGGCGCCTCATCATGGCACAGGATGAGATCTGCTTTGTGCATACACTCAAAAGCTTTTAATGCCAAACACCTGTGACCCTGCCGACAGAGGGAACCTTTCAAGGATTTGATCACGCAGGAAGTCGAAGTCGCAGGTTCACGGGCAGCACGGTGTCGACAGTGTGGTACGCAGAAGGCTCCTTTATGTGCAGAGGCACCAAAACAGCATGCTGTGCATACGGAGCAAGGGAAGAATGCTTTTCGCCGGCAGTGATACTTTGGCCTCGGAAGCGCATATCTTCGGGAGGCCCTAGAGCTGGCAGCGAAGGCAAATACCTACCATGCCAGAGCCTGAAAAATCAACCGCCTCCCGAATATGTGCCCTGGTCGCCAAGCACCAACGGTCCAGGCACTGGCACGGACAGGCGAGGTTGCAGAATGGAAGCTGCAGGCGCACCATCCGAGTGATTGTCGTATCTTTGGGGGGCTGCCATGCGACTGCCCTGCGCTGGCTGGTTCTCGCAAGCAGCCATTTTGACAATTCCAGCAGTGCCTGCGACAGGCTTGTTCGTTCTTGAGCGACTTGCATGGTCTCTTCGAGCTGCTCCTCTTGGGGCTAGTGGCATTAGGCGCACCTGCGCCGTAAGTTCACGTGCACCGTTCCATCTGATCATTTCGCTTTCTGTATCCGCCCATCTTGCAGCCGCTTTGAAGCGCTCGTAGGTAGGACCTCGGGCCACTGCAGATAAGCTGAGAATATGTCCAACTGCCAGAAGTGATGCGCAGCCATAGTGCCGTCTCCAAGACCAAGTCCTAGCCACACGACACAACTCCTTCTGTTTGCGATGACAACATGGAATCAGCAGAAGTTCCCTGGGCTCAGGCAGGGACGGTGCCAGTGCGAATTCAGTTGAAAGGATGTGTGAAGACTGTTGCAGATGTCCTTCGCGCCAGTGTGACAGCGTGATTGCAGCTCAGGTGCGGGTGAGCGCATCCACTGATCCTGATGGGCGGCTGGCAAGAAGCTGCGAAAGCGAAGCTAAAGGCTCTGCACTCTTTCTTTGCTCGCTTTGCCACCCCGAGCATGTACAGCCCTGTCTATCTCTCAATGCTGGCACATACATGTACACAGACCTGCAGAAGTACACACAGACATGCATGCAAGTGCGCAAGCATGGGTACATGCATACCCACTCATACATACCCATCATAATTATAATCATACATGCATAAGCACTTACATACGTACATACAAACATACACACATACGCACATATAAAGTTAAGGAGACGTGCCGCTGCACCTTGCATATGCCGTTTTGGCACTGCATGTACCCTAGACTATCCTTACACATAAATAGTACAAGGTCACACCATGTCACACCTCTGTACTTGCAACATACTTGCGAACACTGAAGTATGTGCATGAAAACACATGTGTTCTACGTAGACCATATGCATACCTGCTGATTTCGTTGCAATGCACCTTGTGATGGGTTGAAGCCAGTTTCTAAAGGTACCCGTAGCAGACGAGAGCCAAAGTTGATTATGAAAACACTTAAAGCGACAGTGGAGCTGGGAGGTGTAGGGAGGAAGCGGCTGAGGAACGTGCTCCGGGCAAGGATGGTGAGCTGCTACAGTCCTTTGCCTCTTCGCAGTTCTAGTACTCGTATAGCACTAGGAGTAATAGTGGTAGTAGCAGCAGCAGCAGCAGCTTGAATATGCGGTAGTGATTGTCTTCATCGCCTCCATCGGTGTCGACGTCGCGGTAAGCGCAAGCTGAATTTCCTGGTGCATTCCGGACAACAGGCTCTTGATTTCCTGCAGGGGGAGTGGACCAACGCCCAGGCAAGTGCAGCTCCGCGAGACAATCAGATGCTGTAGTTCGTCTTGCACTGCCACAGAAAGCCGGTGAGACGTATGTCGTCGACGGTACAACAATCCGCAGCCTCGGCTCGCTTGTGGTTTTTGGCCTTTGATTCAGTGCAGCTTGAAGGTAGCTGACTCATGCGAATGTGTCAGGTATAGTCAACGAGAAAGGCTCTCGGACATTCCAGAACTGGCTCCACTGGGAGGACCACCGCCCCCTTGAATTTTATAGGGTCTGCAGAAGCGATTTCGCGGAGTTTCCCAGCCGGCAGGACAGATGGCACACAGTCAAGTGGGGCAAGTCGGGACGACTCTCGTCTTATATTAACTTGGTCTGTGAGAAGCTTACTGCGGTCTCAGCGCAGATCCGTGAGAAGAGTTTTTACGAGCCGAGGCTACTACCTCGACAAATTCAGACCCCACGACAAGGCCGGTGTACTGCCGCAACGATCAATCGGCAGAGCTTTGAGCTGCACTGTGAGGAAGTGCAGTGGACCTTCTACGGCAGAAGCGGCGGAAAGTCATTCCGAGACTCGCCTGCAGTTTGGTCGACCCACCTTCTTGCCTGACATAGATAGCCTGCAGAATCTATATCTGCTTGTTGACCACCACAACAGTATGCCAATCTGAGACAGTGGGTTATTCGGATCTCCTCGTAAGATGGGCATCTTGCCCTGAACCCCAGGCCTGCAATGCAAAATGGAAAGCTACCAACATGCCCGCATCAAATCGCACGCAGTGCCCCCAGGATGGAGGCGTGACGAGAGCCCTGCGATGAGCCATGAACAGAGCCAGGACACGACTTCGGGTCTGGGGCCTTGATGGCCTTAGGGCCCGCAAGCCACTCGCAACAGGGATGGGCTTCGAGGATTCCCTAAATGTCACCGTCGGCCGCGGGGTGTAGGTGTAACTAGCAGTCCCTTAGTGGAGCATGCATCTCGTTGGCCCAAGAAGACGTTGCAATCTAAGTTGACTCTTACGTTGCTCTAACTCTACCTCGTAGTGGTGGACTCTGATGTATGGAGACATATGCAAAGTGTCTCTTGCCGAATGGTGCACGTATCCCACACTTGCACTTGGCTGCTGGTTGGAGCCACGACCTCCGACGAAAGCGCAGGCACTTCCCACGTGTAGCTGAATAAGTTTTCACAGGGGAGGCTTGACCAAGACAAATGAACAGTGTCAAGAGAAGCGAGAAGTAGACGGTGACCCACCAGGATGGTCATAAAATAAGCCATGACAAGCCACTTCAATCCTTTCCTAGCTACACTTCTCGGAACACCCAGTAGTTGGGGCCATTAAGGGTCACGGCAGGGGCCGGCACCAGTGAGACGTGGCAGGAGACCGCGTCCCCAGGGCCCACAGGGCCCGCAGAGAATGGAGCGGAGGTGCAGATCACAATGACAAGAAAGGGGGGAAGCTGCTTAGCGTACTCTCAGCGTTGAAGAAACCTCGGCTTGGCTTCGGCCAGGTCTTAGCACTGGCGCCACGTCCGAAGCCGCGGCCGAAAAGAAAGGCGGCTTCGGGCTTCAGGTTGCCGCAGTTCTTGGTGGAGAACTGCGTGTTGCGTGATGCGTGATATCAGGGTTGCCAGCTAAGATCCTCAGCAGGCCGAGCGGTCAGCTGAGCAGACTGCGGAGGAGGACACCGGGTTTGGCACCCCCCGACCCCCCGAACAAGCCATACTCTTGCTATCTCTTGCTGTTCGTCACAATCACGTCAGCAACGTCTCATCGATTTGGCGACTGTTCTTTTTTTTGTGTGCAGCGTGCAGATCTCGCGGGATGGCAAAGACGCAGGATGCGAATGCTTTGGAATGTGGGCTTACTTTCCTGATTATGGCTCTTTCGACTAATGACTCATCTATCAATGCAGCGTTCATCTTGTGCACGTGCTTGTTCATGAACTTATGTACCGACATCTAAAGCGTCGTACACACTGTCACGCTGCACCTGCATATAGCAGCGACAGGTACAGCAACAGCACGTGGCAGAAATGTGAACATGCAGAATGCGACATATGCGACCCAGAACAGTAAAAACCATGGAAAACCATCCAAAAGCTTTGATCTGCCAGGCCGAGCAGGCCGAGCAGGCCGATCCGGCTCAAGAGCTGGCTTCCGAGGCTGTCGAGGCGGAGGTTGAAGGACTGCAGACGTCATGATGCCATGAGTGAGAATCTCCTTTCCGCCGCATAGCTGAAGGAGACGAAGTCATCGACCTTGACCTTGACGAGGCCACGGCCACGGACGCCGTGGGGGAAGCTCCACAGCCTGGTGACCCGGAAGCTGCCGAAGAAGAAGTTGCAGACACCACTGCGGCCGAAGCCGATGACGATCTCCTCGGGGCAGATCCAGGCAGATTCCTTTTCACGCGCTGCAGCTGGAGGCTTTCCAAGCAAGCCAGGTTGGGAGAAGGAGCGGCTGATCGCTAGAAAGCTTCTCGCCCAGGGTGCTGCTCTCAGTTTCATGAGCAAGTAAAGGTACCACGCCGTCATGTTTGAAGCTACTGCCACAGGATTTCGACCCAAGCCAGAAGAAGAGGCCTCAGCCACATGTTTGACCTGTGCGCGGCGTGACAGCGAGCTGTCCCATGCAGGACATTACTCATGCTTCGACGACTTCACCTTACCTTGGCTTCGAGGACCGACTTCTTAAGCTTGAATCTTTCCAAGGGGACCGCAATAGGAGCATGCCACGAGCCTCTTATTTTACAGCGATGTCTAGTCCGTCCTTGGTGCTGCGCAGTTCCACTTTGCATCGCAGATTTGCTCGTCTTGAGCCCAACTTCTCACCTGTGCTGCTTCTGCTATTTCGGCTTGGCTCAGCTGTAAATATCCCACGGTTTGTTCTTGGACCCCATCGTGTGTGCAGCTGCGTACTGTGCACCGTTGGCCACTGTACACCTTGTCTTAGATTCTGTTAGATCAGCACACGTGCATCATCCTGGACTCACTGCATAGAGCTGCCAAGGGGCAGCCGCCACGAAGTGGCCCCACATAGGCCACTCGATGGTAAGCCTTGGAACCCAGATGAAATTCGCGCCGGGCTCCTAGCGCATCCTGGCCCACTTATAGATGCTTTCGATGCTTTGTCTGCTCAGGGGCGCCGCTGCTGGAGCATCAAGTGCCGTTGGTAAGGCCGCAGGTTCTGCGACTCGCTCTCACGTTGGAACTAGTTGGGGATACTGGGTCTTCTCCGCGACCCCGAATGTTTAGACTGATATGCACTCCTCGTGCTCAATGTGCCTCCGGACGGTAGGTCCAGGCGCGACCTGATCACAGTGCAATCTCTTTCCGAGTGGCCGCCCCCCGATTTAGCTCGAGATCCCGATCATGCATCCTAGGCCCTATATTATGGCCGTTACAACGTGTTTCTACATACTACTGCGAAATCGCCATGTCAATGTCATCCTCCGGCCTCTGCCGACAGCTTTCTGCTAAGTGTGCACTTGTGGTGCACTCTGTGATGACCAGCTCAGGCCAAGCAAGCGGCAGGGGGATCCAAAGGTGCTTCGAAGGCGGCCGAGTCCGAAGAGGAGGTTCCGGTCTATTTCCATTGCTGCAACATGCTTGCAAATCGCCCCGTTTTTGCTACTTGCGATCACGGAACCAAGTGCATTGTCGGATGTGCTGTTGAGACTACTTTTGCTACGACTTATGACGACGACCGGACATTTTTGGACAGGGCCGGGAGAGCGACGACGACATGGACCATGACGACTACAACTGTGCACAAATTGTTGCCACGACTTAACTACTGTTTACTAATTGCAGAATCACTTCCTAATACTTACTACTACAGTCTTGCTGCTGCTGCTGCTGTCGCTGCTGCTGCTGCGACGACGATTGCTGCTAGTACTACTACGACTACACGACGACGACGGTTGCTGCTACTACTACTACTACTGCTGCTACTACTACTGCTACTACTACTACTACTACCACCACTAACTAGTCCTCTTGCTGCTGGCACGGCTGCACACGCGCGCACTTCGAGGATTCTGGTGTCGAGGAGGCTACAGACAGTGCAAAAAAGGATCACAAGATCAAGGGATGCCGGGCAGCAGCAAGTGACGTGACACTGGAAATTTCATGTTGTTGTGGCCTGTAGCTTTCAGTCAGGTCAAGGATCGTTCGTTATCTCAGGCAAATGTGTTTTGGTCGCGACATGTGATGGGTGCGAGCATGTCTGCTGTTGTGTATTCGGCAGCTGAGGAGAGAAGAAAGTGGAGGTTGCTGCCTCAGCTTTAGGCGAAACCAGCGGTTGCCACAAATACAATGCGCGGGCATGATCGAGCATTCCCTCTGGCCATCAAACACTTGGCTGGTCTACTTGTAAGGTGGGCGAGTGGATGGATGATCTGATGGAGGGCTTTGCAGAGCTCTATCGGGTGGCTGGCTGAGTGAAGGTCGGAGCTCCGTGCCGAGCCTTCGACAATCCCACGACTCATGCACAAACATAGAAACCTCTTCGGACTGAATGCAATGCTTACTCAGTTGGCCATCAGCGGCGGGCAAAGCTGCGGAGACTGTGTCCGGAAGACCACCTATCCCATCAAGGACCGAGCTTGTTTGCAACGAGGGAGAAGACGCGCTTTTCGAAATGGACGGAGTGATGGGTGCGAAACCAGAGGTCGCCCAAGCAATTCGATGCGCTGGGCTGCCACTTGAAATCAAAGATGGTGCACCCACCAAGAACCGTGCGAACATCAAAAACCATCGAAGCGACGCCTGGAAACAATGGGCAGGAATGAGTATCGAATCTGCAGAGCAAACTGCATGCCCTAACCACTCTGAACGTAAACCCAAAGTCCAAAGCCGTGAAGTCTTAAGACCTCGAGCTGTCGTAGCTTCAATACAAAAGAAAGAGCGCGAGTTTCTGCTCCTGTGAGTTTCCTGCATTGATTTTGTCGTCCCTCCTGCCGACCGACACGAAGGAAAGCAAGAAAGGAAGCAAGCAGAGACCGAGAAGGGGAACAATTACAATGACAGCAGTAACAGCAACATCAACAAGAGCATGCACCGACCGCAACGACGATCTCAACGACAATGACAGTGACAGCGACAAGGAGCACCATCACAGAAACGCGTGGAATGAGGATGCTAACATTATGATGTCCCGGTGCTGTTAACACCAGCAGCGCGGGAAATATGCATGATGGGATTGAATGTCCAAAACACCGAAGCGGTTGAATGAACAAAACGGGTGGAAATCGCTGCAATACTCAGTGGGAAGCATATTCTTGCTGATTCAATACTCATGCGATTCTATTCTCGTGCTATAACCAGTTTTTGCATTGCGTTCTGTGTTTGATGTCTCCCGAGGTCCAATAGATCTGAAATATAGAGAATTGCAAAAGCATCGAAGGATTGCTGGGAGAAGAATGGGGAAATAGTGGTGTAAGGTGTAAGTGAAGTCGATTCCATACTCGTGCGGTTCTCATCTTATTCCCATGTTGTTCCAATGGGTTCGGTGTTTGATGTCTGTAGATCTGAAATCCAGAAACGTCCAAAAACAGCGAATCGATTGAATGAGCAGCGGAAGAATTATTGTGTATCTTGTGTCCGTGTTGATTAGATGCTCATGCGAATCTCATCTGATTCTCGTGTTTCTTGATGTTTGTCCCATGTTGCCTTTGATGTGTTCTGTGTTGGATCTGGTTTGGATTGTTTCCGTTGGTTTTCGTTTTCTCTTGTCAGTGGTTTCATAGAGTCATCAGGCGGGCATCTTAGGGATAGCAGTTACACTAATCCTAAGCGAAGTCACAACAGTAAGCCCCCCGATGCACCCTGCGGGGCAGCAATTTCTCGGAGTGTTCATACAGTCGTACTCCATTGTGTTTGTCCACATGTGTTTGCGGAGTTGGGCCCGCGAAGGGCTTGCCACCTCGGAAGCCAATAATATCACTGCCACTCCCCAAGAAGCAGAGCAAGAAGGTGCCTGCTGTTTTAGGAGAAACAACCGCCACGTTTGCAATAGTGATAATGGGCGCATGCAGAACAACAGAAAGCCTGCTCACGGCTGCAAAACCTCCAAGCGGTGTTGAGGAATAGCCAGGCAAAGCCAAGCCAAGCAATGCTTACAACTGCCAATGTGTACAGTTTCTTCCATTCATTGATTGTATATATTCAAGGAGGATGTCCGTTGTTTGTGCCAGGTCTCCACTGGCGGGTGTAGCTCCCTTCAAGCCAGGCCCAGCCAAGCTCCTGGTCACAAGGTGCAAATGACGAAGGTGTGTTCTGGTTTATCCTGATCCTGCATTGAAGCCAATGCCGCAAGTCACAGCAACGTAGTATGAGCAAGCATTCAACAGGATATCAAGAAGGACAGGGGCAAGGGGCGCTCCGCCCCAGCCCGACAGAAGCCAAGCCTTGCTAGTCCAAGCCAACGCCGCCCTTCCTGGTTTGGGGTTCGTGAGTTGGCCGATCTGATGTAATTCGCAACCTCGAGGCCTGTGAACGGCGCTTCGTTTTCTGCAGCGAATGAAGCTTGGGAACCGTCGGAAATGCTGCAATGTGGGAATTGGCGCCTGGGTGAAGTTTGTGTTCGATCTTTGCTTACCCCTTTGGCTGCAAAATTGCAAAACAGCGATCTGCATGTTGGAATTTCGCAACAGCTTGTTCGAGGAGCGTGCCCAACATAGTTGCATTCCCCAATCGCTCGCTCAAAGTTGGCATTCCCCAACGCTTGTCGGAGAAACTTGCCGCAAAACAGAGCCCCGTCAATCGGAATTCCGCAATGGCGTTCCGCACGAGAGCAGTCTGGACATGTGACCTTGTCGTGACACTATGCTGTGAGCAATACAGAATACAAAAATGTGCAAATGGCTGGCCGCAAGACAGCACCATACAACTTGCAATTCTGATTAGCCTGCCACACCACAGGGCCCATGTATTGGAATTCCAAGGTACGTTGTCACAAAGAATGTGGAATTGCCGCATAGCTTCTCCCGAAAGTAGACCTTGCCAGTTGCATTCCCGAATCGTTCGCCTGAGAATCAAGGCTTTCACAGTGGAATGCCACGGTAGCTTCCTGCATGTCGGTACCTATCAGAACAACAGAGACACAAATCAGACATGGAAGATCCGCTGTAAGTTCTAACAATTCTGAGCCCTTGAGCCTTGCAGGAATCGATCCTGGGCGCCTACGATGGCGTCTCAGCTCAGGCGCGGGCTCCAAATGCGATTCGAAGCATACACCACAGTGCATACCCGTAAAAGTACATATACACATATATATATATATATATGTGTGTATGTATATTATATATATATACATATACACACCAGTTGTATGTATATAGAAAATATGTGTTATAGGTACATCTGTATCTATATCTATATCAACTTGTATATCCGCCTGCGGTACCCGGCCGGCTGCAGTGACAGAGATCTTTCTGCATTCTTGAGCCTCCAGGTGAACCCCACGACTGGTGCACGTGCTGCGGCCGGACGTTCTGCCGCAGCACCAACCTTTCGACACGAGTAGGATGCGTCGGCTGTTGGCCTCGGGGCATCAGGTTGGCTATCGCATGCCATTGTCCGGGTACGTGAATTTAGCATCGAGAGGCAAACAGTCCACGCGTGTCTCACAGGACGGCATGCTAGCAGCACCAGGGAGAAGATGCAGAAATGCCAAACACGTCGAATTCAAGTACAGATGACATTCGTCCTTCTCTGCGAATCTTCTCCTGCTTTTGCTGCCTTTGGCAGCGTTGCAATTGGCGGTACGTCAAGTACGAGCTGTGTGTGAGACTTTCAAGTTCCGAATTTGACGCTAGCTGGAAAAAGCATCGTCAAAATCCGCAAACATCTCACACACTGCACATCAGCCCGAGATTCGTGCTGGCTGCTGTCCTGCGAGCTGAAAATGTACAAACTCTCCGCCAGTTGCCATAAGGCGATGGCAGAGAGCTTATCTGAGATGCCGAATTGGCAAGGTTGACCCAAGCTGCTGTAGGTTAGCGATCCAAAAGGGCAAAAGCATCATGCAAGAGCTTAGGTCACAAGGTGTGCACTTCATTAACTTTGATTAGTAAGACATGCGGGTAGTGACGGACTGGTATCCATGGTGTACGATGTGTCGCATCCCAGTTTCAGTTTCTGACAGGAGGTGTTAAATGCGCACATGTAGCATCTAGCCTATTAGTGTTTAGAGCTATACCATGATGCTGCGACAGTTGTACAGTCGCGTGCACAAATGTGCTCCTGCCAATATGGACCCGTAGTGCCCCTTCCAGCATGTAGGCCCTGTACATGCGATTGGCAGAGTATTTATGCGCCATGTCTGTGCCAGTAGGTTCGTGAACACGGAAGCACATTCATGAACGAGTTCAGCACATGTAGATATGCACAGACAGTAGAGATCACTTATTGACTCGCACATTCCGACCCTAAGCGCTTGATTAGCTGCTTCTCCATGTAACAGTACCTGTCGCATGCCTGTCTCTGCATCTGCACGAGCAGACAAACGCATGCGCGTATAAACACAAACGCTGGCACTCACTTACACTACACGTTTCACAAACACGCACACAGAGCTCTCACAGCATTTCTTGCACCATACACATGCATGCACATCATACACGCGTGTACATGTATGTATGTATATATATATATATATATATATGTATATATATATATATATATATCGTATGTCGATGTACTCATGGGCATGTAAGTTCACATGTAATTACATTTACAGAAATGCACATATATACACAAATCTGTGTGCATGCACCCACATACGTCTAAACATGCTCATGTAAAGTTTATAGACGCAGATGTATGCATGCATGCACGTATGCATGGATGTAACACACATATGTAAACACATACAACCACATGTCTGTACAGATACAGATGTTTGCAAGTGTACTTGCACATATACACTTACGCATGCACGCATGCAGGCATGCATATGGACAGGCAGTCAGACAGACAGACAGACTGATAGAGTGGAGCAGACAGAGAGACAGACGCACTGCCAAGCATGCATACATTCGTACTACATACTTGTGGTTATGACGGTAACGCAGTTAGCAATGGTTCTATCACTCCTTTTTCTGTTGTTGCCCAGCATTTTGTGTGGGCATGTGACTCCCCTGTTTTGTAATTTTGTGGCTAGGCAAGACTCCTGTTTGCAGCAACACTCAGTCATTGAGGTACTAGGTACCAGGATGGCAGGACGCTCGTAGTGCGTTGGCGTGAGGATTTGCTCGACGACATTGAGCCGGATGTAAAGCGTCAGCGACTGCCGGGGCCCTGTTTTCATTTTCCGTTGGTTGCAATAATAATGCAATAATAAGCAGGCACTTTATGCTGCAGATTAGCTTTCGAAATGAAAGATCGTGCCCGCCCGTGCTGATCACTGAATCTGGCTTGAGTGGCCAAAATCACGAGCAGCTTTTTGATTCCGATAAAAAGGCTCTGTCATGTACTCTCAACAGTGAATATGGAAGGGTATAACATCCTTGATTAGTCTTGCCTTTTCCCTTTATCCATTGCAGTTCGCAGATCCCAACAATCTAAGGCTTTGAGCGGGACAGCGCAGCCCGCTTCGATGAAAAATGCACGTATTGCTCCATCGCACTGCCCTTCTGCAGGTCAGGCCGAGATAATGGATCTTTTCGGTAGCGGCGTGTGGCCAGGCTGGAAAATCATAAGGTCCAGACTTGCGCCACACATCGTGCCCTTGCCTCAGTAAGGTTGCGTGGCGTGCCACTGATTGCATCAGAACGAACACATGCTGAATACCCTGACTGTGAGCATAGTTACGACAGTATGTCAGCAGAAACGGCAGCTCCTTGCGCTGCAGTGTTGCAGCCGCGGATGAGGCAAGGCATTCGATGGTGCTGTGTGTTTTACTTGGCGCCGCGTTCTCAGCCGAAACCGTACGCTGGTCCCAATTTGCATGTGATCGTTCACTGGATCCTGTTCCGGCTGTATCATCTTGAGCTTGAACGCATCAGCTCAGGTTGGTGATGGTGCAGGCTGCTTTGTACCACTAGTTGCCTTTCTCCACACGGTGGTCGAGATGCTTGAGCTGGACGGTGTGCTTGAAGTTTGCTTCCGGTTAGTGGCTGCTAGGCAGTGGCAGCACGTGAGTTCAAGCAACTTGGCAAGAAGTGATTTGGGCCTTGGTTCAGCTCATGCCATTTTTCCAGACGAAGCTTTCTCCCGGTCACGGCTCGGGGCCTGAGGCCGATGTTCCTGCTGGTCTTCTTCTCTCTTCGGGCCTGGCCTCTCTAACAAACTGTGCTATCAACAAGCAGCTGCACACATTCACCTGATCTGATCGGCTCAGAAGTCTGATGGCTGGATCCTGGAGCTTAGGAGAAATGTCCACGATGCAACGGCCGTCATAGTCACCCAAAGAGGACACAGACTGTTCAGAATCCTCAGCACATTGATAGTCGCAGTCGCCAGCATCCCTGGCAACGCTCACAAGCAGATCAAAATGGGAATGATAAAACACCGTGATGTCGGCAGCAGTCAACTGCAAATCGTGCCAAAGCCAACAATACGAAAAGCGCAGGCACTGCTACAGGTAACACATTGAACTGTAGGGGTACTGGTAGTATGAGCAATGGCAGCAGTCGTAGAAAGTGAGATGAAGAGCATGAAGAACAGTGGCAACCAGCAGGATGACAAGATTCAGAACGGCAGTAGTGAGAAAAATAATGTGGCTCAGCAACGCAGCAACACCGACAGGAGTTTCACTCACAAGATTGACTGTCGAAGCACATGGAGCCTTCGAGCCTGCCGGGCCAAAGCCCGGAGACCGCACGACCTGAGGGCTGAATAACAACCTTTCCGTCAAAGTATCTATTGCATGCCGTAAGGGACCAATCCGCTGTAAGCCCTGAACACGCAAATCGTACGTCCAAAACTCCAATATAGCCCAAGCCCTGAAGTCTTAAATAGACCCACAGGCCCAACAAAGAAGACCTGCCCCCGGCCCAAAGCTGGAGCACCCCGTGCTCGTGCTGCCTTCTCTTCGAGCACTGCTGATGCAGGCTCGGCCTGCAGATTGCTGACATCGTTTGCATGATCAGATGATCTTAATGTGCACGTGTGTCTTTATGTATGTATATCTACATACATACATATATATATATATATATATATATGAATGTCCCACGTATAACGTACGCCGACTTCTGAGTTGTTGCATGGCTTTGTTTTTACGGTGACGTTCTGAAAATGTGTGGTGACAGAGGTAGTATGAACGACAGTTCGAAGCATCCCCAGGTTTAAGATTCCCCAACTCCAGGCATCCAACCCTCCGCTTAGACCATGCGAGCACAAGATTTGGAGAGTGCAAAATGTGTCAGGTTTTGGGGCCTTTTGTGCTTGGCACATTTCGCATCTCTGTTGGTGTGATACAAGCAGGCCGGTGCTGGGAGCCCGATAAAAATGTGCCGCCCACAGCCCAAAAACTTGGCACATTTCGTCTCTTAGTTGGTGGGGAGCGGTGCTTGTCCTTTTGGGGGGCCTTGCAACTGCGGGAGACCTCCACGGTTGTATGTTGGGTGGTCTGCGCGGGTTCGATACAAATACATATGTCCAGCTGTTTGAAAACTGGGCGGCCGCGGCGAGTCCTTCGCAGCGGTAGTGTAAAAAGCGTGTTCAAGCTGATTGAAAAACCGGTGGTATTTAAAATCCGGGGCCGTGCTAGTAGTATTGCTCTGGTTGTGATTAGAGCGGCCATTATTTCTTTCCCTGATGTTCTTCTGCGTGTCTTTTCGCTCCAGGTGATTAGTGGTGCCCTTCCTGCATCATCAGCTTGCAGGTATGACGTTGCAATGCATTGCGCATAATACAAGCATGCTCGTGTTTTGACGCTGACGCTGCCCTTGCTTTTCCGACGGATTCTGTTGACATTGGTAGTGTGGGAAGCAGTGATTAGTGCTCGGTAGCTTCAGAAGCATCGGCAACGGCACATCTCGTGCTGTTTTTGCAATCACGCATCCCCCATGGTTGCCTCCGCTACTGGAAAGCAGACGGCTGAAATCTATGCTTTCGATGCCTCAGCCCAACCACAGGTGCCCACCATCAGCCTGCAGAGCTTCTTCGAGGTGCTTGGTATGAGTTTTGTTGAGTATACCGATTCTGGAGACGTGAGAACGGACTTGGCAATTGCGCTTTTCAGGCTGAAGCCCGCTGCTCTGACTTGGAGGATCTGCCTTGCAGAGCGATAAGTTAGCTGATGGGAGTTGCACGGACAGGAGCTCAGCAGCAACCTGCGAGTCTTGGACCTCGCAAGCCAGCTTCGTGCAGCCTGCGAAGAGGCGCTGTGAGAGTGATGGGTGCAAGAAGTGTCTAGTCCTAGTTAGAATCCCGCAACCATGTAAAAGTCGTTCTTTCAGCTCATGAACAAGCCTGTACACCATATGGAAAGAGAGGTCCAGCAGAGTTAGGCCATTTTGCTGCGGCTGTGTGTTCACCAGCCTGAGTGACTGTTCATGAATGTGGCATGAAACTACCAAGTAGTCGTATTCAACATTCAGGTTGGTTTCTTCGTCGTGACGGATCATGGCGTGAGCAAAGATTTGATGGAAGGTCCGGCTCAAAGATGCCTTAACCGAAGCAGAGGCTCAAAGCTTTAGCTTGTAGGTAGCGGCATTGCTCAGTTGTTTGTGCTGCGATGCTGAGGCTTCCGCCGGGAATGCACAGCTTTCTTCCGCCGCAGCCCGCAATCGAATGTGCCTTCCCAGCATGGTTGCTGCATTCACTGTTGGGCCCTTCCTGTTGTGGAGAAAGGCGGGGCGGGTTCTGGCAGGCTCAACATGGTGTGCGGAGTGGACAGCCGCTTCGTTTGGCTAGACTTTGCCAGCCTCTGAGAAGGCTGCTGCTGCTGCTGCTATCTATCGTGCAGCCTGAGTAAAGTTCAAGCCAAGATGCCTCCATCTATGTAATGGCTTGCCATCATTATTTGTGTGTGGCCTGAGTTCGTGCCCATCAATCAATCATACTGCTAGCGGCTAGTGTTTTCAGCTCGTCGTACCCTGCACATGCAGGTTTGCTAAATATATCACAACGCGGTGTCACATGGCAGTATCAGACGGTGAGCAGTATGATATCTTCTCAGATGTCAATCACTGTTTGCAGACTCTGCGTACAGTTAAGTGATTTGCTAATCACAATACAGCACAGTACAGTAAAGCAGAATACGTTACAACCGATAACTATTCATGGATTTCGCTTGCATATAGCTCCGCCCTAGCCTCTGACCGACCGGAGGTCGGACCGGCTCATGGTAACCGTAACCCCAGACACCTAAGGCACCAAAGCGACATAGCACGCTTTGCTTCATGTTATGTACGAATTACGGTTCACGACATCCGCCGTCTTTTGATTATGATACTGCTGCTGTGTCATGTGTAGAGGCGTGAAAAGTTTAGCAGCATGTCACATACGTTTCGCGTATGTACGACATCATAACTCTCCGCATAGTAGTCTGCCGTACAGCATGTATGGATACATGTCTATGAAGTCAGGACGCGTACCATGATCGCAGGTGTTGGCGTAATCTTGTTTATGCACCAGAATGTGGCATTGCATTTTCAACATGGTTACATAACATGCTAGCTAGGGTTTTGCTTGCCGAAGCAATGCAGAAGCTAAGCATTGCATTGCACTTCACATGAGAACGTGCTTCACTGCAGATGCTTGACACCATGCAATATGCGCATGTAACATAGCTCACCAGTATATATCTATATATTTGTCAACGCGTGCATAATCACACATATATGTATATATACATACATTGTGCACACACGTGCATACGTATTTGTCGGTATGTTTTGATGCATGTACATCATTGTACAGGCGATCATACATGTTCTACGGCTCGAGGTGTACATATGTACATATATATATATACATATATTTGTATACTCATGTATTCATGATAATACATGTGTGCATGTGTATACGTAGCAGAACATTGCACAACATGTCCAAGCAGAAGCTTAAACCATCGACTGCAACATGTTCTGACTTGATTTGGCGCATACAGTAGCACGCATCGATGTGTATATGCACGTATGTATGTATGTATGTATGTATGTATGTCATGCATGCATGCACAGGTGTTTGTATGATTGTGTGTGTGTGTTTTTGTGTTTGATGGCGTGCCTTTGTGTATACACGAAACACATGTACACTCATGCATGCATGCCTGCATGCATGCATCCGTACATGCACAAACACATACATACTAGTGCATGTGTGTGTGTGTGTGCGTGTGCTGCGCATGTCTTTTTCAGATCAGGTCCCTGCCGAGTCTGAGAAGGTCGCCCGTGTCTGAGGTGGATGTGATGTGGGTGCATATCTATGTGTCTGTGCATCGAGGTGGGCGCTTCCAAGGATGGCAGCTTCTCGCTGGGCCCCGTGCAGGGACGAGGCAGTTTGCCTTGGCAACTGGACCGTAAAGTCACAGCCTGAGAAAGGGGTGCGGCGCCCTCCAAGCAGGGCCCTTAGAACGGATTGGGAAGCTTTGACCTGTCAGGAGCTGTCAGATACATGGGCG